AATTGTGGGAATAAAGATATGGGAAAGAGGCTTTTTTATTTCATATTGTTATTTATTTAATTTATCTATTTTTTTTTTTTGCTAATTTTATGGAACTTAAAGCAGACAAATAATATTTGTGGACAATGCTGATTGCCAATTTTTGTTACTATTTAATAAGAAAGCGGTAAAAATAGAACAATAAAAGGCTTGAAAATTAAAGTACCTTGATTTCTGTACAAGAATCAGTGCTGTCTAACTGAAAATTCGGAAAACTATCTTGAAAAAGAGGTTGCTAACGATAGCATCTAGTTTGCTTGAGGAAAGAACAATGCAAGCGTTTATAATATTTTATTCATTATAACCTAGTTATATTTAATAATATCATCATTGGAATGTTATAAAAAAACGAATAAATTAAAAAAAAAAATGGAACATCATACTCTTTTAAAATTAGTAAATAAAAGCAAATAAAATGAAAATATAATAGATTTTTTTCTGAACTTGTAGACTGTAGACCTATTTGATTTATAAAATAAAAAATAAGAAATTATTATTTCTTTATTTTTATTTTTAAACGACCTAAATACAAATTCTAGCTTGAAAATTGAGAAAAATTTACTTTTTAGCTGCTTTTTACCAAACTAGTAACGAAATTGAACGAAAATCGAGTCTAGACACAACAGCTGGAGGGCCTAGAGGTTCCAAAAGTTCTTGGAACTTTCAAATGCGAGACAGGCCTTTAATAATCGAATTTATGAGACTGGAAGGAATGCGTGCTCTGTGTGGCTTGGGCGAATCGATTGGGACGCCGGAATTTCCGCGGTGAGCCAGCCGGGGCCGGCGGTTACGCAAAGTTTCGCCGAGTGCCATTGCAAGCGAGACCAGCACGAGTTTCCGAGTCCGGCCAGCTGTTCCGCGGGAGAGCAAAGCATCCCTCCTACGCAAATATCGATTATCTGCCGATGCCAAGGTGCGTGGAAGCGGTGCAGGTGCACTTTTATTGGAAATGCCGCGCGCACATAGACCGGCCTACCCACCTTTTTATCACGCACACGGCGACCCAACCACCCACACGCGGCTTACTTGACCTTTTCCATCTCGCTCCACCACCACTGAACTCGCAAAGTGAATATAACCTGATGAAAATCGAACCCCTGGCTGCGCTCATAAAAAATATCTTGCTCGTTAATTCACCGCCGCTTTCGAAACCGGCCGGAGAGAATCTCTTGGTGCGGCGACGCGACGAAAAACTCTGGGGGAATTGAATTATTGAGACGTTTTATTTACCCCCGGATCCTTATATATTGGGTGCCGGGTTACTCATCCGTTCGCCTCTCCCAAATTAAGTGGAGATGGCCAACTTTTCCGCTTTTTTATATATCGAATCTACGCCCCGCACATCACGATCGACGTCCGACTTTATTATACCCATTCGCTACGGCCCATTTGATTGACGGTTTCGTGTTCTTCTCGTCCCCACCCTGCCTATAAAACGCGATACAAAATTTGACTAGCAAGCACGGTTCGTTTCTCGACGAATATGATTTGCACTGATGGTAACATTTGATTAGGGTTGGGGAACTTTGAGCACAGTGACGAATTAAAAAGGTGCAAATATGCAGTCTTTTATTAGCTTCCCGTGTATTAAGAGGGCAATCTTAAATTTTTTTACTTTAATTAATAATTGATTAATTAATAACCATTGAATGTCTTTATTTTCATCATCAATGCTTTCTATAAATCAATTCCAAGATCAAAAAATTCAGTGAACTGAAAAATAAAATCACATTTGTTTGCGGATTTTTAATGCTCGTTTTCACATCTCACCAGAGAAACATTTTATTAAATGGTACAAGGAAAACTCGGTTTATAAATATTTATTTTGTGCTTTAGGCCAAACAATTAAAAATGTATACATCAAAAAGTGAATTGACTTTAATTCCCGACGCTAAATTTCATAATTCCCTCTTGAAATGGGTTATGCAATTTTGTGTATTATTGCTGGCAGTTTCGAGGAACTGCTGAGACATGAATTTTCAAGAAGAAATATTATGACGCCATTAAGGACCGTACATTCGCCGACTGCTCTCCGAGCACCATTTGTGTATCAAATATTCTTGAAGAAAAGGGAAAGCAAATATGAGGACGCGAGAGTGAGGATGATTTTCGCTGCTCACAAAGAGATTGTTAAATGGCGAGTCACTTTCGAGTGATTTTCGGCTCGGCTTTCATTAAGCACTTTGCCAAATTAGTTTTGCGCACAACAGCAGGCTTTTCACTCTCTCTGCTCTCACTCGCAAAAAGCAATCCTCTCGTGTTAATTAATTAGCCCCCGACTTAACGCTAATTTATGTTGCACGGAGAAAACGAGACGACGACGACAGAACTCTCGTCCGTGCAGGTCCTGCGAAAGCAACTTCAAGTGGTGCACTCGGTGACAAAGCTGCGCCGCCGCCGCCTCTCACAGAGGATTGTAAAGATGCTTATCTGGCGCCCTTGTGCATTAAAACTCGCAACATCAAAAGTGGCACCGCCGACGATAATTTATAATGCACAAGCCAACACAGAAATAACACTCGTCGAAATATGACACACTTAAACCTCTTATAGTAAAAGTAAAACGATGCATTTCTCGTGAATAAATGTCAAAAGAAGAAAATTTCGGGGGAAAGGTGAACACAACGCGAGACGCGGCGGAAGGGTTGCTATTTCTTAATGGGCCGTAAAACGTTTATTGTCTCCGCGCGCCGAAAGTTAATGAACGCATCGTTTTTATAAAGGCTCAAAATTTCTTGCCGAACAAGTGGTATAAACGTAAAAAAGCGTCCCTGGTAAAGCGAGATGACTCTTTTAAAAAATGATCTACACCTGCGTCAAAATTTTGACTTCATTTTCCAGTTTTTTAGGCAATAAAAGGTCATTCCAGGAGACGCTTGGAGATCAAAGTGCAAGGTAGAATCGGTAGAATCAACCTGTTTTGTATCTATTTTAAAAAAAATTTGACATTTTCCAATTTAATCAGAGCTGCTGTTTGCTCTCAGAGGTCTTTCGTAGGAAGGAAAAGGTACTATATTATTGAAAAATGCGATTGCCTTGAAGCAGAAAATCGACTTGTTTTGACGAGAAGGAGAGCTGGGCGGGTGATATGAGAGATAGCGGAAAAAGGAGCCCTCGTTTGTACTATGTAGTAACACATGAAATACATATAGACAACTGTATATTTATATACAAAATGTCGCTTCTTCCGCGAAACGAGTCACTCATACACTTCAAACATCTCCAGAGAGAGATGAAACAATTCAAAAAATCCGTCGCTCTCTCCCGGCGAAAGAGAGTCTTCGTACCATGGTGTGTACATAAAAAAATCGCGGGCCAGGAATTCACGGAGAAAAGAGAGACGCCGGTTTGCGGTGATGAAATTCTCCTGCGCGAGTTGTCAGCGCCGGCAGGCAGGCAGGAAACACTGCACTGACTGCAAATATAAACTGAATAAGAATCGGAATGTCAGCGCTCGGTGTGGAGCCGGAATTCAAGGGAGATACCTACCCTTGACGTGTTCGACCCACCTTGCCTGTATGTGTGCGCGTGACTCGCCCTCCCGGTGGTGGTGAGGGTAAATGAAAGTGCTCTCCCCCGCGCGCCAGCTCTCGAGGGCTGCTCCTTCAAGGGTTGCCAGAACCCTCGCAATTACACGCCGTCCAACACGTGAGGGCTAATTGGGGTTGTGCTCCTCGACGCACCTCTGACGAAAAAAATATGTATGTGACCGACCGAGAGTACATCTTGGGGTATATGAACTTGTCAGCCCCTGAGCGCCGCGTTGCCACTTCTTGCGCACGTCTCTCTCCCTCGATTTTCCCCCGGGGCCAAATCTCGGAAACGTTCCTTCAGAAAAAAGCACCGATTTTTTAGTTTCCTTGTCAATTTCCATCATTTAGTGGCGGAGAAAGCCTTTTATTAAATTGATTCGCTTGAAAATTTATTCTGAATGTGGATCTTCGCAAAATGTGCACTCCTGATTTAAAATAAGTTAAATAAATAAAATTAAAACCACGATTTTCGACTTTTTGTTGTGTGAAAATTATTTTTCTTATTTTTTGAAACAATTTATTTTTGCCATTTATACTCTAATATTGTTACTTTTCCGCATTCTAGTAAAACTTAGAATAATATTTCTAGCGCATTGATCTATTTAAGAAATATTATATCAATTTTTGAGCTAATAATCTGATTTTGGAAATTTATTTTTAACCATGACAATTAAATTAAAGGAGGTTTGAAAATTTCTTTAAAATTTTGAATGGTCAAACTGGCGTAAAAGGAGTTTTTAGTCCAACTATTGGCAGAACCAAGGGTCTAAAAGTAAATCACTTTCAATCTCCAAAGACATTGCAAATCTTTCTTACATACCCTGCAGGGAAAAATACGACGTAGCACAAATCATGATAATTTAGAGGTTTGACTTTCGCTTTAGTTGAAGTAAATCACCAGCTACCCTATTTAATGATGGATGTAACAAGAACATTCCCGCTTGTTAAAAAGTTACAGCCATGGAGAAAAACCAGTAGACCATCCTCTTCGAATTATTGCCCATCTTCACGCTCAATTCTAACTTGGGAATTTTTCAAATTAAAAACTTAATTTTATAACATAATATTGAACTTCTATCTGCACTTAATAAATCCTTGGTTTGATTCATGCTCTAATTTGTATCCTTTCACACTCTCATTGGAAGCCATCAATCGTCGGCTTGGAAAATCCGCCGTTTCAGGACGTCACTGCCGTAATTTACTCTGCTTGTACTGTCAATGGCTGCTACACAGCCCTCGCTCGTATTAAAAATCGCATGCCATAAATCCTGCCATGCGATTCTATGCTCCCATTTCCCGCAGAATACGCATAGTGAAAATTGAAGGGAAATAAATTTTAAGAGCAGAATGTGATTTTTAAAAATTTATCCGTGTTTTCTTTAGAATATTTTAATAGAAAATTTACAACAATTTGACATTATCACGAAAGCTCTAAATTACATCCAGTTCTGATCCAGTTAATATTTTTAAGAGAGCTGAAAGGTTTCAAATATGGTTCCAGTCCTGCAGGTTTGCATGGTGAGGCTGGTCGAATTGCAAATATTGCTGTTTGCTACAAAAAAAAATTAAAATTGTACATCTTAAAAGAAAATCAATATTTTTACTCCATTTCTCGAAAATTGCGTTTATTGGATAGTTGAAGACATATAGTTTGTCCAAAACTTCCTATTTTTTTTTTCTTTCATAACTTTATATAACTTTTATACTTTTTTATGCTTACCGCCCACGCTTTATAAATTATGCACTGTGTCATTAGGAACCATTTAGGATCACAAGACTTTTTGAATTGTTTCGAAGTAAACTTTGGAATGTTCAAAGCTAGAAATATTTTATATCAAAATTTTCCTTTTAGATAGTTAATTTGTACCTGCAAGACCGTCCAGGCATAGTTGGAAGTTTGTAATGAATCGCATTCCCCAAAAGGTTCTTTGATTGGGATTTGTGAAAAATACGGCAGACAAGACTTCAGTGTTAACAGAACCGTCAGAATTAACCTTTCATTCCATAATTTAATACGATTTTGACAAGTCAAACATATTTCAATAAAAATTACAATTTGCCCGTTTTGGTTGATGAGACATTCAAATATGCACTGAAAAATGGTTCAAACTATAATGATAAATTAAAGAAAGGGAAATTTTGAACTTTACTGCTTGACCAGACAGTTGGTCCTCTGAAAATATATTTACATATAAACGTAAAAATAAAATTATTCAAAACGTTTTTAAATTTACGAATCTTCTTATCATTGAGATTCAGAGCATTGCTGTTTTTCTTGTCAAACATTTTGTTGAGTAAAAAGTGCGTCATGTAGTTGGTGGTGTCACCATTGCCCTTGCAAGTTTTGAAAGCCACAGTGAACTGGGCGGTCTTGTTGTCGTAAATAGGGACAATGTCGGGATCATAGCAGATTTGCAATTTCTATACATTTTTCCCAGAAATTAATAATAAATAAAATCCTTTTGAGGAATAGTACCTTGTAATCTGGGGCGACGCAGTCAGGTGCCTTGGTCGGTTTCTGCCCAAAGGCCGCGCAGGCAAATGCGAGCAAAATAACTATGAGGCTCGTTGTCATTTCACAGAAAAGTGATAAAAGTTAGATTAAAAGCGGCCTTTTATAAACGGCATCACCGCCGGATGTTTTGGCAAATGTCAAAACTAAGCGAAATTTATATGTTCAGGTTGTAATAAAATTCGTTCCAGCTTTTTCCTGTGGTGGGCTTCCTTTTGCATTTTATCATCTGGTGAAAATTGCAGCAAATATTTATAAATGATTTGAATTTCACAAGAATTATTTTGAAAATTTTGTAATCGTGACAAACGCTGACGTTATACTTATTGTTAGTTTACCTTACAACGTTTCTCCCGTACAATTATCGGTGTTTAAATAAAAAAGAAAACTTTCCTCAAAATAACAATTTTTAAGGCTCCATTAAATAAAATAAAATATGAATTGATTTATTAGGATGTTTTTGTTTCTTTATTTTTTTAAATGGTTTTGGTTCATGAAACTCGTGATAAAAGAAAAAAATTATGCTGATATTGCACATTGAGCTTTTATTCCGCGAAATTCATATTTTTTAGTAAACTAAGAATACCGCCTCTGTGTCTTTGTCCTAATCAACATTGAGGCCCTCAAAGAAACTACCAGTCCTGCAGGTGTGCATCGTCTTCAAGGTTGTATTGCAAATCGCCTTAACATCTGCGCCACAAAATTAGTCTCTCTGATAAAATTTTATCGTGTCTCTAAAATTTTACCCCATTTTTCAACAACACCAGAGTCGATAGTCTGGTTATAAACGTAAACTTCGTCCAGGATTTGCTAATTTTTATGAAGAAAGAAAACGAAATAAAGTCATATTAGTAATAAATTTAATAATTTTTTTTTCATACCGCCCAAGCCTTAAAAATCGTGCACTGAGTCATCAGGAGCCACTTTGGATCGCACATTTTTTTCTGTTTGTTAACGAATTTTGGAATATTCAGATCTGAATTGAATTAAAATTAGTTCAATCTCCATTTAAATTAAAAAAAATTCTAACTAGTAATGGCCTGCAAGCATAAATCAAAGTAACCACTAAATTTTTCTCCCCAGAAGGGATTTTGATTAGGGTCGTTGATGATATAATATTCCAAAGCTTCTTTGCCAATTGTACCGTTGGGAAAATTCTAGATTTATTACTCTATTTAAGATTTTGAGAGTCTTGTGAAATTTTTTCTTTACAATTTGGCCAGTTTGATTAATGATGCACTCAAAAATGCACTGAAAATTAATTAGTTAAACTTGAAAAGAAATTCAACACTAAATGTTTTCTACCGCTTGGTCAACCACTTTATCCTCTAAAATAAAGTAAAGATTGATTAACAAAAGAACAATCAAAACAATCATAACAAACGAATTTTCTTGTCTGCCAGATTGAAGGTGTTTGTTTTCTTGTCAAACATTTTGTTAAGTAAGAAGTTCATCATGTAGTTGGTGGTGTCCGCAGTGCCCTTGCAAGTTTTGAATGCCGTTTTGTACTGGGTCGTTTTATTGTCAAAAATCGGGACAATGTCCGGGTCATAGCAGCTTTGCAATTTCTACATCAATTTTTGGATGAATTTTTAATAATGCGAAAGGGTGAAAAGCATACCTTGTAATCGGCGGCGACGCAGTCGGGTGCCTTGGTCGGTTTTTGCCCAAGGGCCACGCAGGCAAAAGCGAGCACGGATACAATAACGAAACTCCTCATCTTTTTTGCAGAGTGAAGCACTTTGATATTTCGCTCCTTTTATACTAAAACTGAACAGGTTGAACAGGATGTTTTGGAAATGACGATGAGAATTTTCATTTCGATTTTCTTTGTTGCTGGGATTGCCGCCCATCGGGCACGTCATTGCGTCCATTGACTTTCCATTGACGTCCGTTCAAATTTGAAATATCGCTTCAGAAAATTTATAACTTTGAAATGGGATCAAATCAATTTTTATTCTGACCGGGATTATTTAATTTTAATTCAATTACAACTTTCGTTTCTAATTATAACAATACTATAATTTCATAATCTCATATTAATCTTTATAATTATCAAAACGTGTAAAATACTTTTGAAAAATTGTTAGCGGTTTATATTTTTGTTTTGTTCACATTTCAAAAATATGATCTGGGGTCGAAGTGGGTAAAGTCGTCAGGGGAGATATTGAAATGAAATTGGCGCCACCTGGAGATGAATGGGAAGGGATAACGCAATGCGGCGGTCAGACCCACTGTGGTCGATTCGGTCATCCTTCGGCCGGCCTGAGGCTGCACGCACACAAACACAAACGAGCGTACATGTAAATAGCTAAGGACAACATCAGCACCAAGCGTTGGAAATAAGAGAGAAAAATCAATGACAATTTTTTATATAAAGTCTATTATAAAATGTGCCTCAAAGATAACTATCAATAGTTGATGTTTAGAAATTTATTTGAAAACATTATTTGAGTTTTTTTTTTCAAAATCATGGTGGTTCCTCAATGACCCCAATTGATTCAAAAGTAAAGATTAAAGAAGAAAATTAATTATTTGAAACTTTTAATTTATTTAATTAACAGTTTGATTTAAAAAAGTAGGCTGCAGCGTTGGCATGGAGACCTTGAAAAGCCGTAATAAAAACCTTCAAACGGGACAATTGATGGCATTGAATCGCCAGCATCGTTGCTTCCTGTTTCACAAAACGGCCTCGCACCACAGAACTATGACGATACTATTCATTGTCATGCTCAGGTATAATTATGTCGTTTCAATGCAGGATATTTCGACATTTCGGTTTTCAACAATAATGTTCATGAAATGTGAAAATCTAAATTTCAACAAAAAAATTTAATTTGAATAAAATAAATTAAACAATTTTGAGAGTTTTCGGGAAAAATTTCAGTCGTTTATTTGAATGCAAAAATTTGTCAAAATTAATTCCCAATTTTTTTGAGATAAAACATCAATTTTTTTATATTTCCTTTCACTTGATAAGATCATGCGTAGTTGGGTTGACGTGGTGCGATATAATTATGGCTTAATTTACAGTGATGAGTGTTGGTGGGCACAAAATATTTTGATTACACGTCGCGATCGAGAAAGTTGATAGGCAAATTTATGGGCGTCTAATTAGCTTATGGGCCCAGCGGCGTGGCAGGCGTCAGATTCGCCGCTAAACGGAGCGGGCGCCTGTTGTGTATGCAGCACACGCTTTTTACAACACACGCGCACCATGCGGGTTGCAGGACAGCAATTTATCATCGGGCTGGTCGTTGCGGCTTTCGCGCTACTTTGCGAAACCCGTCCTCGTTTGTGCCCGGCCTTCTTTTTTTTCCTTCGTATGATGAATTTGTATCTCAAGTGTAGTTAATTTCAAAAGGAAAACGAGCGAGCAGTGTTGCTGTGACTGCGGGAAAAATTCCGTCGCATGACTTTTTTGCCCAAACTCGCGTCATCTTGACGTCGAATAATGGTGGCGGATCAGATTTGCAAGTTTTTCGCCTCAAAAGAAGACAAGACGCCAAATTGCCTTGACTTTTTCCACCGCCGGGGTTAAAAATGATCTGCCAGAGATGGATTTGTCAAGGAAATACAGTTTTTGAGAGGAGTCGCAATGGAATTTTTACAAAAGAATGCTTTGAAAGAAGACAATTTCCTTAAATCATACTACACATTTGCAAGTTGCAGTAATTTGGAGGAAATCTTTGAGGGTCTTTAGAAAATTTGATGACTTCAAACTAATGTTTGAAGAGGGCTGTAACTTTTTAATGGGTTGCTTTACTTTTCCACGTCATTAGAAGAGACACGAGTGTTCTACTTGGAGCCAGATGGTTTCGTATTTTCCTCAGAAAAGTTTACTTTCTGAAGGTTTTTGTTTGTTTATAAGACAAACTAAAAATACCAATAATTTATTAAAAATTTTAAGCAAACTTCAAATTGCTAGCAATGTCATGTCATGTAAACAAAAAGGTCAAATTTCTAATTGTTCAAAAAATTGCAATGAATTTGAAATCTTAAGCCTGATTTTACCATCTTGATATCTGAAAGAAAAAGATCTGAATAAATTAATAATTTTTTTCCTTTTTCAATACAAAAAAATTTAAAAAACATCCTATTTCAAAGCTAGCCCTATTTTCCTAATCTGGAAACGAATTGTGCTTAGAAGCGAATTTGAACGCTCGGTTTCTGTTCTGCAAACTACGCTAAATCTGAATAATCTGATCCGTTGTGTTCTTGAGAGCTGCGCTAACTAATAACTATCAGTCAAAATTTATGCGGCGCTGAGGTTGACATGTTTTGATAAGGCACATAAGCAGCAACACGCCAACTAACTAACTGTGTGCTTAATTCGCTTAATTCCGCTGTCGCGTAATTAAGAGCGACGCACTAACTTGCGGTTCTTGCTTGTTGCAGATTGCAGAGTGAACGTCTCCAAGAGAGAGAGAGAGAGAGAGAGAGAGAACAAGCTGCTTCGATCATTGCTCGGCGGCTCACCCCTTCCCTCACGCGGCCACGACTTTCGTGAGTTCTTTTTATTGTAAAAATACACACATTTCTCTCTTCGCGGTGTCAAACGAGAATAATCGATGGACTAACACGCGAATTACACGGGTCTCTCTCACAAAGTCCATAAATTGCAGCTCCTTCTCAGCCAACACGCGAATCGTTTCATTTTTTATTTCCGCTTTTTTTTCTCCGAACTACAAACGAGAGACGTTTAATTGGGCGGCTGCCAATAAAAGGAAAGCGTATAAAATTTATTTATTCATTTTCGCAGCTTCTCGTCTCTTGGAAAAGGACTATAAATTTTCAAGCGTCTTTGACTCTATTTCGGTATTAATGAGATATTTTTCACCGTTTTTTCATCATATAATTTGGAAGGAAATCGATTGTCTGAAAAGAAATTATGACTCAAAATTTTACAACTCACTTGCCTTCCAAAAGAGAAATCAAGTTTAATGAAATTAAAAAATAGTTGTGCAAAAAATGCTAACTTTCGTAAGCGAATATTTTTAATTTTTTTAATTAAAAGAAAAAATAATAACAAAATAAGTCATATTTACGCATTTATTGCATTTGTAAATAAAGTACCTTGGTCTTTGAACAGCTGAAAATGTTTCCAAAGCTATCCAGAATGAACTGCCAGAGAACAAGCCAATTTTGCTTTTTTTTATATTTATTTTTTATTTTTTAAATTTTAAATTTTAACCCAAAACTAAAAATAGATGATATGAAATTTTTAATGAAAAATAAGTAAATTGAAATTTCCAGAACTCTAACTAACATTTTATGGGAGGAAGAATTGCTTGTCTAAAAAATAATAAGAAATTTTATTTTTTGTTTTGGCAAATGGCAGGTGGCTGAACGAAGAACAATGACCAATTTCGGCCAGGGGCAAGCAGCAGCAGCAGCGGAGGCAGCAGCGGCGGCGGCGGCACATCCCCCAGCAGCTCTCGGAAGTTCCTGCAGCGACTGGACTCGAAGCAGCGCGTGCCGTCGTCTGTCATGAAATCAAATTTAGCCTCCATCCATGGCGCCAAGAAGGAAAGAAAGTTATCCACTCCGACCATCATCCACCCTGTCAGGTCCGCCGCCCCCGGCCTGCCCCCCGTGCCGCCCAGAAACCTGGCCAAAGGCCCGTCGCCTCCGCCGCCACAGGCGACCGACCCGCCCTCCCAGTCTGCCTCCGAGGTTAAGTACCCTTTCGGCGTGCAGAACGACCTGGGCCAGGTGATCCTCGGCTCTGCCTCCAAGGTTCGTTCAATTTTTACATCAAATTTTTACAATTCCTATGAATGATTTTTATTTTAAATTAAAATCATTTTTACGTTATGAAAAACTCAAAATATCAAACAATGAAGAAAAACAAAGAATTTTTTAATTTAAAGGTCGCCTTTCACTAATTAATTCATGAATAGTTTGGGGAAAAATAGGTGCCAGAAGATAAATATGAAAGTTAATAAGCTTTAAACCCGCTTTTTAGTAATTTAATTTTAAATATTTAGATTAAGAGCAAAATTAATTCAATTAAATATTTTTTCTTTGCTCTACCTATATATTTTTTTATAATTGTTTTGGCGCTTGATTTTATATTGGCTTCCACAATTTAGAATGTAATTTTTCATTTAAATTCTGAGTTGACAATTTTCAAACGTGATTTAGATGTCAAGTTTTGAAACGAGTTTCAGCCGTTCCGCGGCGTTAAGCGCCCTTTTCCGTGCCAGAACAAAAAGTTTTGACACCGGCTGCATTTCTTTTGTGTGTGTGTGTCACTTCGAATCACGATAATCGCGCTCTTTCTCGCTCGGGCCACACACATTATTTTCATAAAGTTTGGCGTGTGGGCGCCGCGCCGCAACAAGCTGCCGTCCGGACGGCCGGCCGGCCGGCTCTTGATGGCTGCGTTTATTGACGTTTGTTTCTTTTGTTTCGGGGTGCAGGAGGTGGATCGGCAGGAGCGACCGACAAACTACCACCTACTTCACGAGTTGGGCCTGACGGCCTCGTCGTGCCTCGCCAACACCCCCACCTCCCCTCCCTTGACCCCGGGCCCTCCCGCTCGACCACACAGCCGAAGAGATCTCAGCCCATCAAGACTGTCTTTCCAATCTGCAAGTTTACAATGCAGGTAACTCTTGAAGCTACAAGTCCCATAAAAAACCAAACGTGACTCGGAGGGGAATCATCTCGTAAATTTCAAAGCGTCGACTGGGGATGAAAGATTTATACTCACTTTTTGAGGCGTGCATAAAGTTTCTTCTGCTTACATAAAATGTTTAATTTCTCGGAAGATTTATGGAAATTAAAAAAGACAAAGACGATTCGTTTGCGGACTAAATCTTTGAAAATCTTTATTGTATTTTCTAATCTTTTTTTTTTTAATAAAGTATATTTATTCAAAATAAATTACTCAATTTAATATTTTTATTCTTATTGTTATTATTATCATTATTATTATTATTTTCACTACTTAAATTTCTTTGCAGAGAAACTTTGTGTTTAGTGTACCAGATTGACAAACAAATGCTAAAACCAGTTAAACAGATTTTAGAACGCACATATGACCATTATTCAAAGGTGTTGAATGATCAGGTCAAGAACAGTCAAGAAGATGTTTTGTAAATGAATTTTCTGACTATTTTGGTCATATTAATATTTTTACTCAATTTTGGAGTTTTTTTTTCTTTTAGAATTTGAAATCAAATTTTCCACCATTTTTTTTTTCATCATAATCTTCCTGAATAAGTCTAATGGCTGATGTTGATAATATTAAGGTTTGTAAAATTCATTAGAGGCTGAAAAACTGTTTTTTTTTTAGTGGCTTAAACAGTAAAAAATTTAATTTTAGCTTTGAATCTTGAATCAAAATTTAGTCGTTGAAGTTCAAGTTGATTTTTTTAGTTTGCTTAAAAAAGAATAACTGAGAAAATTTTATGTACAGAAAAAAAGGGTAGCTCTCCGGGCGCGAAAAAGTGAGGGGCGGTTAGTCCGTTTGTTTGCACGCTTGTTGTAAATGTGCCTTCAGCTCTCATTGGGTGTGCGTCTTAAATTTCCGTTTCTTTGACTTAGACGGTATATAAACGTGTATTATTATGACAGGAGATGAGGCAGCCGGTCTCTCGCGTGCACCGTGCCCTATTTCGACGCAGAGTGAAAACTCTTGTAACCTGTCGTCGCGCTATTTCAGCGAGAGAAAGAGAGCGGGGTGCAATGGCTCTCTCTCGGCCGCCCCCGCCGCGCCCCACTGCTCTCTGCGCTCACGTTTTGTGCAAGTCATTTTTACAAAATGCTCTCCGACGCGCGATATATGCGGGCCGCTTCTCTTTTGTGTGTAATGCCTGCCAGAGATACTCATATTTTTTGTCTGGCCCGCCGACCGACCCTTTTTTTATGAATATACGCAATGCAAATACGGCCAAATTGTGCGCGCTTTAAAAAAATTACGTAATTACATCGCAGCCACCGACACGTAAGTGGATTGCACTCCTCCTATTGCGTTAAATATTCACATGTGCTTAAATATTACAATATGGAACCTTTTTAACAAAGAAAAACTACTTTAAATTTTTATTTTGCATCAAAATAATCGTATTTTTTAATTGAAAACTATTTTATATAAATCCGTCTTCTTCGTGAATGCTTCAGAGGCAGAAAAAGGGAGGGATTTTGTTCTTTGGCTCGATTCACCGCCAAATGAAATGCGACACTCGTTTCCTAATATTTTCCGCCAAATTAACTCGCGCCGCTCTCAGTCAAACAAACGATTACATTACAAGGCAAGATTCGTCAACATTTGCAGCAGACAAACACATAAAATGTGAAACAGATTCTTTCGCCCGCTTTCGCGAGTACGTACGTGATCCCGCAGAGCAAATACCCGCACCCGGCCCGGCACCACCAGCAACGCATTAAAAAGCAAATTGATTTTGCAGCCTCGCATCCTCCGCCACAGACTTGAGTCTGGAAGCAACTCAACTGGAAAGAGCAATTCGTACAAACGATACTCTACGGGTCAAAAGATTTCTTGATGTTCATCACGACAAGTTCCAGGTTTGAAAACTTACAGCATTTACTTGGTATTGAGCCAAAATCCTTTTCTTTTTAGAAACAAACTCTAATTTTCAATTGTTTGAAAAATTTTAAGCTATTAAAATCTTTAATCGCGATAATAAAATACTTGAATTTTTTTTACTTTGTAACAACTCAATCAGCTTCTTCCAAAAATATGTTCAAATTTAAAGATAATTTTTTTTTAATAATCAACAAGTTCCCTTTGATATTTTCAATGAACTTTGAACTCATTTTGAGCATTTACAAAGCGAGTTTTGCAATCGCTTAATTTGACAAATCACTGAATCGCAACTTTCAGAAGATCAATCAAGCGTGCGAACTGGTTGAAAGTGTGTTTGTGTGTTTGCATTTCAGGTTAATTTACATGGCAGCATTTTGGATAAGTCTTCCAGCGAGACGCAGAGTCAGGATGTGGAGATTCTGTTGCGAAAATCAAAGACCCTCATAGATAGGTGAGTTTTGCGTGCGACGAGAGCCGGCTGCACTAATTGATTTCCTCTGGCCCGGCTCAAATTGGCTTTTCGATGGAGGCACTCATCAAACAAATTAGAGAGAGAGAGAGAGAACATAGTCCCTGTTCGTCGCCTTGCTGCCTTTCAGCCTGTTTGCTCTGCCGCTACTCGGAGGCATTTTTGCCCCGGGCCTGCGTTCTCTATTTGCACAAAATCAAATTATTGCGCCAAAGAGCACGGGATTTTGCATTAACGTGATATTGTTAACATTCTGCACTCACCCTATTATGCGATACGTCTGGTACGCGACGGCCTAAAACTTTTAATGAACGCGCGCGCGTGTGTGGTTTGTACGCAAAGGTGGTGTGTTTTTCAGTCTCTGATTTCATTATGTGATGCCCTCGGCAATATCCTTTTATTTAATTAATGAAACGTTTCAAAAGTGAAGGTTATTCCTTTTCCCATTGTACGTTTCCTGCACAAAAGAGTGGATATGCAACCCCAATACCCAAGTGCCAATCCGGTTGCCTATGCAAGTTTAAAAATTTCCCTTTTGCCACGGAATTTATGTTTTGGAAAACTATTTAATAGGAATTTTGAGTCTGGCTAAATCCTCTTTGCACTATAAGGATCTCAAATAGGCTGGTGAATAACTCATCTTGATTTTTAATTTTCCCAAAAATTCATTCGGTCAACAGGTCTTTGGGAATTTTTGTCATTTTTTGTTCAAAAAAATTCCATTTTCACTCTTGTTATTTGATGTAGCTTATTTTGTGAAAATTTTGTTTGCCGTTTTATAAAAAGTTCCTCTTTGATTTTGAAAATCAGTGTTGTCAAAATTATAATATGAAAAATTTAAATAATCTTCAGTATAGAATCTTAAAAACTTTCTCTGAAAAGATTTTTTTAACGAATTTTTGCATTACAAAGCGATTAAAAACTTCGCCTTTTTATTAAAAAAAAATCCTCAATTCCTCACCAGTCTAGAAAACTAGAAATTTTTAGAGAAAATATTTTTTCAGAAAAAAAAACTAATTTTCCGGCAAATGTTTTCCTTTAATTGAAAAATGATGTAAAGAGAATTTGAATGGTAAAATTCTAAAAGATACTTTTGCTTTTCTTTTAAATTCAGGTTAGACGCGAACGGAGATGAGCGCGAGCCGGAAGTTCCTTCGATATTCATAAACGCTTTGCACGTGGCGGTGATGCACGGGTCGGTGGACGTGGTGCGGCTGCTGCTCAAGTACGGTCTGGAGCCGGACCAGCAGGGCTCCAAGCCCGGGGGCGAGTTTGGCGGGCGGCTGAGCGACTCTGGGGCCAACCCAAACGTGCTCACCCCCGAGAGTCCCTTCAAGAAGCGAAGGGCGCACATCAGCAAGTCGCTGCCGCGGCAACGCTCCTTTTCGCTGGACAGCGAAGTCGACCTGACAAACTCGCAGCGCTTCCTCATCGAGCGCCGCAGCGTGTCGGTCAAGTCGAGCCCCAACATCTCACAGCCGCCCCCGCCACCCCCAGAGGCCGGCCCGCCCTCGCCCTGCCTCCTCTCGCCCACCGACAACGAAAACCTGCTCAGGCCCGTCGAGAGGAGCATCTTCGCCGAACTGCGCCGCTCCAGCGAGATCTTCAAGAGCATCCTCCTCAATTTGTCCACCAGGGACGCCACCCCCGCCACCGTGGGCCCCAACGACCCCAATCTGCCCAGGCTCAGCAGAACGGGAAAGGAGAGTGGAGGTAAGAACATTTTAATTTCAACTCTGCTAATTTTTGTTTTCAAATTTATTATTTTTTTTTTTTTTTTGCAAAAAGTTCTTGCATTGATATATATAATTAGGAAATTGTTTCTTCGTCTAATTATTCCAATCAAATTGCTTACATTCAATTAATATTAATCAATTTATTTGAAAGAAAGGGAAGTAACTGCAAAAAAATTAAGATTAAAAAAATATTGTTGTACTTTCTTCTCAATCGCAAAAATGTTGCTGAATTTCGGGGCTCTCAATCAATTGCAATTTGTACTATTATTATTTTTATTCATTTTATTTATTTATTATTTTCAAATTATTAATTTAATTTTTACATTGCAAGAAAAACGACTGTTAGGAGAGAAACATTAAATTAATGGTAAATTGTAATTAAAAAATTTGAAACCCTTTAGGTTAAAATTGGGGTTAGTCACAGTTTCAAACTTAGAGTGCGATTATCGCTGTAAATTTTTGCGTATACTCGTTTTTGCAATCCTCTAAATATGAGTTAGTAAATGAAAAAGAATTTCAAATTTGTCCGCTTTAAACTTTTAGCTTTTGGATTAATGGAGTCTGCATTCAGTTGAGCTCATTAAGAGCGGCTGCTGCATAATCGGAACGCGCTCTCAGCCGTTTTATTAACGACCCGTTTGAACCTTTCACGCGCGCCGACAATAATTGCCTTGTGAGGTTGGGGCGGTGTGACGCATCGTTTTTGCACGTCAGTCATAATGTGCCTGGTTGTTGTATGTATTTTCCTCTGCGTCCCATTTGCATAACCCATCGTCATTTCTGCAGTCAATCAACGCAAAGTGTTTTTGTGTGCAAATTATGTTGCTTTATTGTAGCTGCCGCGAATTTTGCCAGTTTATAATTACCATCATTTTCGCGATTGCCCATCGGAGCGGACTAATTATCGATTGATAGTTTGTAAACAGCAGAGACTAAACCCATCATTGTGAAATATTTGATTAATTAATGTCAACCTCCATCGAGAATAATTTGCTTCGACTGCTGGCGGCTTTTTTTCAAATCATTCTGCTGATCCAAATTAGGTTGCTGCGATTCGTTAGCACTCAGTTAGCAGAGTAGTCGATTCGATTTTCTTTCTATCCCTTGTTCCGATGAGTCCCGCTGGTGCCACCCAATTTCGATAATTGGCCATTCATTTGATGGCCCTCGCAATTAGCTTCTTCTCGCCTTTCCTTTTCTACAGTTTTTAACAAGGAGAAGCGCAATCCCTGTGCTTTTAAATGTATAATTGGGCCCTTTTGGAAAAACTGCAACTTTTCCACGACTGCTTCCTTGTTGCTTTTTATTACAACTTGTAACTAAAAGACACAAGGTTTGACTTCTTAGTCGTCCTGATAAAGAAATACATTTTTGTAAAAGACCAGTTGACAATCTTTAATTAATTAATCCCAAATGAATAAAATCCTAGAAGATCTTTTTTAAGATTCAAGTGTTTGTTTTGGAATACCATAATAACTGTCAGTTTTTAAAGTTTTCGAGCGGCAAATGCAGCTTTATTCTCTATTCAAGCTTCTGTTTTAACAATTTTTTTTTAATAATTTTTATTTATCAAAATTTGTTAATTGTGTTCCCTGAAAGTAATGAAAATAAATTAAATTAAATGTGTCAACTAATATTTCATGTAAAAATTCAAAAATTGAGATGTTTAAATAATTAAATATTTATTTAATTATTAATTTTATTTATTATTAGGAAAATTGCATGAAATGTACCAAAATAAAATGAGTAATGTGCCCATATTTAAATGAATAATTATTTACAGACTGTTAAAAAAATATATTTAAAAGAACAAAAATATAATATTAATAATTTGTTAAATTAATATTTGGGTACAACTTATAATTGGTTCCTGTTGTTTGTTATTTCCGTTTTATCAATTGATATTATTATCATCGTTGTTTATTTGTTCACAACAAATACATTGTTCACATTGAATTGTTGAAAATAATTTATTTAAATAAAATGTCAGACAAAACGGCACCACCAAAAGATAAATCAAGATAAAAATACATTGTATAATATTTTAAATAGTTTTTTGTTCAATTTAAAAAATAAATTAACATCTTCAGCATATATCTTTGCCTGTTATATTTTCAGTATTCAAAATCTATGCTGTCATAATTTACAAAACAAACTTAGTTTTCCTCTCCTCTCCATCTTTTAAATTATTTTAATAAATTCTTCTTGCAGGCTCTAGCAAGGGTTCTGCGTCGCCCGTGGAGAGCAGCATTGCTGTGGATCTGGCCGGTCTGCTGGCCGCCCACGAGCAGCGGCGCCTGGCCGCCTACCAGCACGACGCGACTGGAGGCGGCGGGGGCAGCCACCAACGCAACCACGTGCTGCACGGGGCAGCGCCACACGGTGGCGCCGACGCAAGCTACACGTCCGAGTCGTCCGTGTGCTCGTCGGACACAGACGACCTGAACGGAGGTGTGACCACCCTGCACCTGGACATCTCGGCGTCGGACGACCACTCGAGTCTGTTGCGGCTCAACCCGCTGCTTTCGGCCGACAAGGTCGATTGTCTGCACGCGCACGTCTATACCAAGCAGTACCTCTTCTCGCTGCCCACCCTGTTCCTTGCGTGCGTCAAGGGCCACGCCAGCCTCGTCTCCCTCCTGCTCAAGTACGGCGCCAGCGCCAACACACAGGACGGCTACGGAAACACGCCGCTCCACATCTGCCTTTGCCAGGTAGGAACAGAAAAGTCCAAAATTCCTTCCCATAAGAACTTCGATGCCAATAGTTATTATTTTATTAATTTTTTTAAACACAAAACTGGACTTGGTAGTCTATCATTTGGAGATGCAAAATAAATATTTTTTTATATTTATTATGATCAATCACCAAAAATTGCGGAGAATAAAACTTATACTTTGATTTTATATACTAAAATAGAAAATAGATAGACCCTTAGATATAAAATCGATAAAATCCATAAGTTCAGATAAAAAGTAAAATTTAGATTTGAATGTAACTTTTGCACTTTTCTGATACTTTTTTTATTTACTTTTCTTTTCACGTTTACAATCAGATTTTATTTTTTTTTGTACTTGTACAATTTCGAAAAAATTATACCTTGATTAAGTAAAACAAATATATATCGAAAAAATAACAGGCCAATATTCCGTGGGAATGTGTACTGGACCTGCTGGAGCACGGCGCGCAGATCTCGATTTGCAACCGCTCGGGGCTGACACCCTTCGACCTGGCGCCGAGCAGTCTGGCCAAACTGCAGTACCAAATGCTGCTCGACTGCTGGGCCGCGTTTCGCGTGACCAACAATGCGTCTGTTCCCGCAACGCAGGCCGCTGACCCTCAGGCGCAGGCACAGTCGGACAGTTCGCCGCAGCAAGTCACTGCGCAGGCGTGCGGTGCAGGTCAGTCTGGCGCGCCTGCGCAGACCATCGTGTCCAAGCCGCAAGGCATCTTGCGGCGGATCCACGAGGGGCTCAAGGCCAGGACCGACTCGGAGGAAGTCAGCTCAGCCTCTGCGGAAGTCCTGCCCGGCATTTCCACCGCTGGCTCAGTCAAAAGCAAGGGGAGCAACCCGGAAATCTCAATTTCCAAGGTGAGCAAACTCCTACTATCCCTTAATTGGCTGAGGCTGAAAATAATTTTAAAGTTTTCAATTTATCTGGACTTTTTTTTTAAATTTTCATTCATTGTTGAGCTCAATGTAGGTACAGAGTTAGGGGGGATATGGGGAAAAAATAAATTTTGATGTAAATATTTCTTAATTAATTGAGATTTTCCTAAACGACCTATTTTCCCCTGAATTTAAATTGTTTTGAAGATTCATTTTTTAGAGATTATTGCCAAATAATTTTAATTACTGAGTGATATCCAATATTATATCAAATTCTCAATTCAATTTCAGTAAATTAAACAAGCAATTTAATTTTCAAAAAAGTTTAAGAACCACTTCTTTGTTGCAATCCGGTAACTGGATAAGTGAAACACAAATCGGATCAGATTTTGTTCTTATATCCCCAAATCTGAGCATGGAAATCGCGTACATGTTGTACTTCACCGCACGGCCTGGCCCTAACATTCAATGGTCGAGGATTTCAACACTGTATGTACGCGATTTCCAGCTCGCTCTCGCGTGGTGTAATGTTCTTTATGCGTGGCGACGAGGCGTGTTATAAAATTTTCTCGCTTGCAGGATAATCAAGACGGTATCAGCAAGCAAGATTCGAGAAAGATAGCGCGACGAAAAGCAATGAAAGAGAAACATGACCAGAATTCGCAAGCAGGTAATAAAAATAATAATCATACACACACGCGCTGCTCCGACCCTAGTTCCCATGTAGACGCACTCTTATGAATTATTATTAGCGGCAGTGTACATTGTCGTTAACCAGAGATTAGCTGCGGAAAAACTCTTTATGGCCCAAAACGCGGCATTCCAGGCCGGTCTGTCTGGCGGAATAACAAGTAAATGCACCACTTTTGAATAAGAATTTATAATTTTTTGTATATATTCGAGTTGCAATGTGAAAACTTTTCATTATTTGAAAAGAAACCATCTTAAATTTAAATAAAGACATTTTTATGACATTAAGTTTATTAAATTTTATTTTAAAATTATATACATTTAATATTTTGCATTTAAAATGATTTATCTTTAGAAAAAAAAATTTGTTTGAAGAAGTTGACACTCGAGGAGATGATCATGGAAATGAAGATTCGGGCTTTTCCTCGTTGCAAAAAATTGTTTTTTATTCAAAAACAAACGGCTCTACCAGTTTCGGTCACGGTCTGCGACCCTATTTCATGAGCAAGAAAAAATACAAAAAATCAGCAAAATTTAAAAACCACATTTTAACATAAAAATAAAAATCTTAAAACTAACAAATTCAAGTACCAACCTATTTCATGAGCAAACGCGCTGCTCGCTGACTAATACAAGAATGAGCTAGCTAAAGACAGATTGATTGGGGGAGGTGATCTTTATTGGGTGATTAGCGCGCGGCGCGGCCGACCACGGGGGCGCCGAATGACGTCGGGCACATTATGCGTTTTCGAGAAAAAGCTGTTTGCTTCCTCTCTCAAAAAGGACATCCACCTTTGATCGAATTGGTGGCTCGGTTGGCTTATTACATTATTACCGCATGCCATTGCCATTGCTTCCAGCACTTTTCTTTTTGATTGATTTTGTTCGAATTTAATAACCGTTGCATCTGACCATGCAAAAGAGTGGCCAAATTCAGTCGCGTGTTGAGCTATTTGAAAACCATTGCTGTCCGTCCCAATTGAAGCCGGATCAAAAGTTTTTGAAATTGCCCTTTTATGCTCGTCAAATCGGAAATAAACGTGTCTTTTTGTCTCCCCAATGTAAACTGAAGAGCAATCGGCGCATGGCACGCGGTATACACAATTACGCAGAGCAGGTTCACATTTGGGTTTTACATGCATTAAACATTTTCGCAGATTTGAAGAGTTTGAGAAAGCAACTCGCACTCTGGCAACTTCTTGGCTGATGGCCCTGATTTTCTCTGATTTTCCTTTAAAATAAGGAATGACCATTGTGGTTGAAAATTGTTGGGGGGCTTTGGGTGTTGGAGGATTTTTTGTTTTATTGTGTGCTTTGTTGATAAAATTTACGGGGTAACAATTTTGACGAAGAATTTTGTAAATGTTGGAAATTTCTTCTTTCAAAGAAATTTCCCCTGAGCAATAACTGTATGCTCTTTTAAACATTGAGAGAGCAACAGAGAACTTGGTTGAGAAAGAGTGATTTGATTCAAAGTGGAGGGTTGAGTTGGTGGAGGTGGGCTTGCGGTAAACTGAAATTGCAATTTTTTCACCATCTTTTTTTAAAAGTAGGTCAAGAAATGGGATTTGGTCATCCTTTTCAAACTCACAAGTTAATTGAATTGAGGGGTGGATTGAGTTGCAAGAATCTAAAAAATTTTCGATTGGGAAAACTCTTTTTCTGTAAATTATGAAATAATCATCTACGTATCGGACGAATAGACGGGGGGATTGTTTGAAAATTTCTAGGCATTTATTATCAAAGTTTTGCATGAAAATTTCAGACAGCACTGGGGACAGTGATGATCCCATAGCTAATCCTGATTTTTGTTTGTAGAATTTATCTTTAAATTGGAAGAAAGTTGAATTGATGCTAAATTCAATTAGTTCCAAAAGTGCGCTAATTGAGAGGGAGGTTCTGTCAATTAAAGTTGGGTCATTTTCAAGCTTTTGTCTTAAAATAATTAAAAGATCATTTGTTGGGATTGAGGTGAAAAGGCTTTTAACATCGAAGCTACAGAATTGATCAAATTTGGAAAGTTTGAAATTTTTAATTGTTGGGAGGATTTGCTCTGCATTCTTAATGCTAATTGTTGACTTATCAGTTAAGGGTTGCAGGACGTTGGCAAGGTAGCGAGCGAGCGGCTGGAAAGCGGACCCCACGGTGCTCACGATGGGCCTCAGCGGTGCACCCTCCTTGTGTACCTTCGGAAGGCCGTAGATGTGAGGCGTCTTGTAGGCGTTCTGCGAGGCGCCGGGATGGCTCGGGTCAGGTGTGATGGCCGCTTTCTCTTTTTGGTGGAGAGAGGTGCCTTGGAGGATGGCCTGCAGCTTCTTTTCGTACTCTCGCGTTGGATCTCCGGCCAGCTCCTCGTACTCGCCACCTGCGAGTAACTGCTCCATCTTCGAGTCGTAGTCGGCGGTGTCCAGCAGGACGACGACAAAGAGGTCAAGGTCGTCAAGGCCGACAAGGGCGGCGCCGTCGTCCTGCTGGACACCGCCGACTACGACTCGAAGATGGAGCAGTTACTCGCAGGTGGCGAGTACGAGGAGCTGGCCGGAGATCCAACGCGAGAGTACGAAAAGAAGCTGCAGGCCATCCTCCAAGGCACCTCTCTCCACCAAAAAGAGAAAGCGGCCATCACACCTGACCCGAGCCATCCCGGCGCCTCGCAGAACGCCTACAAGACGCCTCACATCTACGGCCTTCCGAAGGTACACAAGGAGGGTGCACCGCTGAGGCCCATCGTGAGCACCGTGGGGTCCGCTTTCCAGCCGCTCGCTCGCTACCTTGCCAACGTCCTGCAACCCTTAACTGATAAGTCAACAATTAGCATTAAGAATGCAGAGCAAATCCTCCCAACAATTAAAAATTTCAAACTTTCCAAATTTGATCAATTCTGTAGCTTCGATGTTAAAAGCCTTTTCACCTCAATCCCAACAAATGATCTTTTAATTATTTTAAGACAAAAGCTTGAAAATGACCCAACTTTAATTGACAGAACCTCCCTCTCAATTAGCGCACTTTTGGAACTAATTGAATTTAGCATCAATTCAACTTTCTTCCAATTTAAAGATAAATTCTACAAACAAAAATCAGGATTAGCTATGGGATCATCACTGTCCCCAGTGCTGTCTGAAATTTTCATGCAAAACTTTGATAATAAATGCCTAGAAATTTTCAAACAATCCCCCCGTCTATTCGTCCGATACGTAGATGATTATTTCATAATTTACAGAAAAAGAGTTTTCCCAATCGAAAATTTTTTAGATTCTTGCAACTCAATCCACCCCTCAATTCAATTAACTTGTGAGTTTGAAAAGGATGACCAAATCCCATTTCTTGACCTACTTTTAAAAAAAGATGGTGAAAAAATTGCAATTTCAGTTTACCGCAAGCCCACCTCCACCAACTCAACCCTCCACTTTGAATCAAATCACTCTTTCTCAACCAAGTTCTCTGTTGCTCTCTCAATGTTTAAAAGAGCATACAGTTATTGCTCAGGGGAAATTTCTTTGAAAGAAGAAATTTCCAACATTTACAAAATTCTTCGTCAAAATTGTTACCCCGTAAATTTTATCAACAAAGCACACAATAAAACAAAAAATCCTCCAACACCCAAAGCCCCCCAACAATTTTCAACCACAATGGTCATTCCTTATTTTAAAGGAAAATCAGAGAAAATCAGGGCCATCAGCCAAGAAGTTGCCAGAGTGCGAGTTGCTTTCTCAAACTCTTCAAATCTGCGAAAATGTTTAATGCATGTAAAACCCAAATGTGAACCTGCTCTGCGTAATTGTGTATACCGCGTGCCATGCGCCGATTGCTCTTCAGTTTACATTGGGGAGACAAAAAGACACGTTTATTTCCGATTTGACGAGCATAAAAGGGCAATTTCAAAAACTTTTGATCCGGCTTCAATTGGGACGGACAGCAATGGTTTTCAAATAGCTCAACACGCGACTGAATTTGGCCACTCTTTTGCATGGTCAGATGCAACGGTTATTAAATTCGAACAAAATCAATCAAAAAGAAAAGTGCTGGAAGCAATGGCAATGGCATGCGGTAATAATGTAATAAGCCAACCGAGCCACCAATTCGATCAAAGGTGGATGTCCTTTTTGAGAGAGGAAGCAAACAGCTTTTTCTCGAAAACGCATAATGTGCCCGACGTCATTCGGCGCCCCCGTGGTCGGCCGCGCCGCGCGCTAATCACCCAATAAAGATCACCTCCCCCAATCAATCTGTCTTTAGCTAGCTCATTCTTGTATTAGTCAGCGAGCAGCGCGTTTGCTCATGAAATAGGTTGGTACTTGAATTTGTTAGTTTTAAGATTTTTATTTTTATGTTAAAATGTGGTTTTTAAATTTTGCTGATTTTTTGTATTTTTTCTTGCTCATGAAATAGGGTCGCAGACCGTGACCGAAACTGGTAGAGCCGTTTGTTTTTGAATAAAAAACAATTTTTTGCAACGAAAAAAAAATTATGAACATTAATCCTCAGAATGTCAAGTTTGAAATAAAATTTGTGTTTTTTAGAGCGGCATTCTGCACTAGAGGCTGAGCGCAGCTTCCAAGTACTGCTACGCATGGCGGGCAATCCCGAGTGCCTTGGATATGTGTTACGAGGGCTTCTTGCTCACATCCCCCATTTGCTTCGCCTGCTGCAGAGTGTCAGTGACACTGCCCTTCACCGCGCCACTTCTGCCCTATTGCACAATGTACTCAAGGTTAGACAGCAACCGATATCTTCTTTATTGCTCTTGTCTTTATTTATTATAGACCCTCTTCCCCATTACAGCTACTCATCCAATTAGTCAGACGCAAATCAAGTATCACATTCAGAGATAAATTGATTGATTGAATGACCCTCAGATAGATTATTGTTATTTATAAGTTGAGAAGTATGAAATATTTGTAATTGCCTATTAATTATTTATAAGTTAAATCTGAAAATCCAAAAAGTATCAACTGATGTAGCAGTTGAGTTAAGCTTGGATTTGTCGGAGTTCTTTTTTTACCTTTGTTCAGAGCTCAGAATTATAATTTTCATTATTTAACCAAACTTAAAATTATTAATTTATCAATAACTCTAGAATAGAAATATATCTTACATTAATAATTAAATTTCATTTGAAATTCTCAGAGATTTGTTTGAGGATTTCGAAGCGGTCTTTGTGAGATAATTTTCGTGTTTAATCAAGTCGGTGTTTGCAGACGGCGGTGGAGACGTACGGCATCAAAGCAGCGAACGGAGATGCGGTTTCGCGGCGCGAGTTGAGCGGCTGCCTGTGTCTGGTGCTGCGGGTGTGCCTCAGTCTGATCCACGGGGTGCACGACCTGCAGTACACTGCCATGGTCACAATCAATAAGGTCATCGACGCGTGCGTCATCCACAGACTGTCCGACGTCAAAGTCCACACCTCGCAAGCCCTCAGACACCCCTGCACTTACTGGTAAATTGATTTGCAATTTGCTTCTAATATTATAGTTCCCACTGAAGTTGTGAAATGGTTTTCCTTTGAAATTTCTATATTTTGTTAGAAAACAACAATCAAGTATTTTTTCAAAATAAATTAAAATATATGGTAAAAAAATCTTATACAAGCCTATGGCTTTTGGTGCCATAATTTTACGTTTGGTGTCTACATTAAAATTGTAATTTTCTCTTATCTATTGATTACAGTAAAATTCAAATTCCTGGATTTCCCAGGATTAAAAGGCTTTTAATTGGAGGTATATTTCAGAGCTCTTTAAGAGAGACAAGTGGTTTTCCCACCATTTAAAACAATATACACGTAGGTTAAGTTGAACAGCTGTAACTTTAGAAGGGTTGCGTGTTACACTTAGTTACACCCGTCATTGAAAGGGGCGAGTGTATTCTAAATTTAGTCTTGTCAGATTCAGACGTCTAAATCAATCATTTTAAATACAAGGCACACTCTAGCAAAAATCAAAAATATTTAGTTACAAAACACAAAAATTGGTAAAAAAAAAATCACTTGCACTTATTCTGTTTACTTTAAATCACTTTTTCTAATGTTTCATTTATCAAAAATTAAAATATTTAAATTTTATGTGAAAAAGACAATGCACAATCTTTTACAGACGTTTCTCAACTTGGAAAAATATTTGCAAAAAATAATTAAGACGTTTTTACTTCAAATGACTTACCTTAGGAATTTTTCAACATACAATTAAATGCAAAAATTGCATTCATCACAGCACAATTTAAATAAATTTTAGTGATATAATAACCCATTTAAAATTTACAGCTGTTTTAACTCAAAACAAATTTATATCCCAAAATTGGTGCAATTTTTCTCCTGCACCAATTTTCACACGAGAGCCGATTTTCCGATCCCATAAAGTTGAATTTTCACACAAAAGTAATTTTGTTCGTAGCGACCATCAAGAAACTGAAGGTCTTCCGCGGAGCAAGCAGCGTTTAACAGCGGAAAATCGTCCAACGCCGGCCGCGAAACGGCTCGGCTCGGTTTGGCGACAAACGACCACTGAAGTGCCTGACGCTGCTCGCAAGCCAGAGGAGTTAGCCAAGGAAGAGAGCGTGTTAGGTGAGATGGCCCTTATTAAAATGCTAATGTGTAATGGAGCTCCCGTTTCCAATGGGGGTGTTAATCGGTGGCGACGCAGTAAATTGCGGTTTGAAAGTTGAAGGCGTGCCAGCATGCATGATTTGTCGTTTTATGCAACCCGAGAGCGCAGATGTGTCCTGCGGCGTGCATAACTTTCCAACTTTGACTCCCGACTGCTGTTGTTCCTCCTCTCCTCCGAGCAGCACTGAGATTAGAATTTCATTTGGCAGCAGATTTAAATTGTAAATGTTTGCGCGCAAACTGCGACATCTTCATGAAGTGACTGCAGCGTCTCTTAAGAGCATATGTTTGCAAACAAAATTTTTATATCTAACCCTTTCTTACATCGATCCATAATGCAAAACCTCCTTAATCACCAATTCAATCAAATCTTAATTAAAAATTTTAAATTTTTCAAAAGCCAAGAGTCAGACAAGAGATATTTTCAAATTATATATTTTTTTTTAAATTCCCTTTAGATATTGATGTGGGGGTTTTTTTGATAAAATTCTTTACATTTTTGCAGAGTACTAAATGTTTTTTAGGATTAATTCTCACTATATCTAGTTTTAAAAACATAAGTTTCTAGAAAATTTGTGAGAGCTGGGAATAAAATTCAATCCGCTCCCTTTTTTGAAAAAAACTCATTCAAACTCATTTAATAACGAAATATGGAGTTTCAAGGTTAAATAAATGTAATTATATAGCATAATATGATAATTCAGTTTGAGATAAATTTTCTTATATTTTTAGTTTTAAATATGGCAAACAATTATTGGACACAGAGCTAAAAAAGATTTTGTGTTTAGGCTTCAACAAAATTAATGGTGATTGAATTTGAAAATCGGCTTTTACTCCATGGATTATTGTGCAAAACAATAAACGACTCAGATAAATCCATTGAGGAAAAGCCGAATTTCAATTCAAACTCCATGTACCAAACCTAAACCGTGAAATTCTTTTGTGGAATTAAAAAAGTTATTTATTATTATTATGAAAAATTATTTTTTGCGTCACGTTCCTTATTTTCTGTTTTTTTTTATTAAAAATATTTTTTTTGTCTGCAGATGTTTTGTCTAGTGTCCACGCGCTGTCCGTGCTCAACATTTTGCACAACGCGTTGACTTTGTACAAGAGGGTCGTGGGCAGCAAGCAGCAGTGCACACCTAGCCAGAGGTGAGCAGGTGAGACGTTACACTCACAGGGCTGGGCACACTGACGCACCACCACACACACTCACACACATCTCTCGTTATCAATTCACACACGCCTTACACACCACACACGAAATTTCCATCTTCATACAAAAAGAAAAAAATGAAGTTTGCTGCCAGATATTACATTTCGTTTTTGCAGATGGAGGCATTGCAGTTACCACTGTCTGCAGTTGCTGGCGGCCAGGGCGTTGCTGTTTATGAGCAAAAGTTCCTCCGTGCAAGACCAACTCGTCCAGGATCCGCAACTCCGGATACTCATTGCTGCTTTGGATTCCACGCATGATCCAGTACGTCCTGTTTAAATGTGTTTAGTTTAAAAAATATTTAAAGCAAAATTTATTTTCATTCAAATAGATATATCTGATTTTGTATTAGAAAATGCTTTTTAAATCACAGAGTTGGTTGATATTTTTAATGCTTTTTGAAATCTATAGAAGAATCTTTAAATTATTATTATTATTTAAATAATATAAGAAACTTAATTCCCTAATTAATTATTTCTTTTTTTCTTCAGAAAGTGTAAACTTCCAGAAGATTAAAATTCTATATTTGAAATCTAATTTAATCTCTTTGCGAAAGGTTCCAATGCTATATTTTTAAGAAAATTAATTCTGGAAAATAATTTGCTTTTGAGGGTTTTCATCCAAATATTGCTTCCGCTCGATAAGCCTTTTTTGCAAAATTAAATTTCTAAAACCATTTGAATTTTTAAGCAAAGAACTATTGAAATTGGGATTTTTGTTCCCCCTTTATAAAATTTTGCTGAAAGTTTTAAGTTGCCAATGCAATCAAGCTTGGATCCAATCCACATGAAAATTCCTCCCTCAGTAAAAAGCCAAGTGTTGTTTTGGTGGAATTTCAAGGAATTAGCAGAGGAATGTTTGTTGTTGTACCTCTCAACCGCAGGTCAATCCATTTACAATCGACCACAAATGACTGTTCACAGCAATTGCTGGTGCTGGTGCTGCAAATTGTGGCGATCCTGGCGCTGGAGCCAAAAAACCACAAGCCGCTGTGCGACATGGGTCTTCCTGACGCGCTCAGCCAACTGCTACTGCCCTCGGACGAGTGGTACTACACCAACCACAGCACCAAGTACGCGCGCTACGTCAAGCACCACGCAGCCAGGACACTCGTCTACCTCGGCCTCCAGCACCGCGTCAACCTGCGCATCAGCGTCTACGACATTCTCCAAGGTACAGCCACAGTTAATTAATACAATAATTTCTAACTATCTAATAAATAGGTCAAGAGGGTGTAGTTCAAATAATAAAAATAGGATGATTTTTTAGTTAATTTTTATGTCCTAAGTCCCCGCAATTTTATTTTGGATGATTTTATATTCAGAAATGAAAATTTATTTAGGAAAATGTCAAATCAGAATAATTCAAAGTACCCGTTAAAGATATAGGGTGAGTCCCATTATAAGAGAAAAGATAATTGCGCAATTTATGACGATTATTCGCCCAATGATACTTGAGAAACTATTTTCAACTGTACTGCATTTACATTGAATTAAATTTGTATTAAAACCGGATTTAAAATGCACTTTTCGTGCTTTTAACAATTTTAAATTTCAATAAGTTATTATAATATACTATAAAAGTTTAATTTATTTCCTAAAAACTAGGACCGGCGATAATTAAAAGCGAAGCAAGAATCTCAGCTTGCGTTTCGTAAAATTAAGTCTTATGGCTGCACTTTATTTTAAATTTAAAGCATTTTTTTAGCTATATAAAAAATCACCTTGCAGTGCCTCAAATAAAGTCTGAAGGCTGCTCTTTCATTTATTTTAAAACTTTTTTTCTAGATATTAATGCACTACGATCAAAATTTGGCTTCTTTCTCAGTTTTAAAAAAGATATCGGGATCTACGCTTCATAAGAAAAAAGCAATTTGATTATAAAGCTTATTTTCTAGATATTAAAGCAGTTCGCGCAATGCTTTGGCTGTTTTCTCAATTTAAAAAATTCAAGGTACTGCGGAAAATAAGTGCGAAGCAAAAAAAACTCAGCAATTGTGCCGTAAAATTAAGTGTTGAACCAGCTTTTTTATTTGAATTTAAAGCTTCTTTTCTAGATATTATCTTAATTAATTAATCTTGTTTTGATTATTTTTATAATTTTTTCTTTCTTTGTTTTGTTTTCAAAATAAAAAAGCAAATTGTTGATTTATTAAAATTTTCAAACCTTTAATTAGCCTAGCACATCTGAAATAATTAATTATTTAAAGAAAATAATAAGGAAATTTGAAAAAAAATTATAATTTAAAATAAATACAATGAGTCCATTCCTTATTACTTAAAATAAAGTGTCTGTTTGTTATTTTAATTATTTTCATGTATTTCATCAAGTCAAGAATACGCTTATATTTTGACTTAATTAAATACAAATTTACTTCAATGAAAATTCACTACAGTCCAGAATCGTTTCTGAAGAATCATTGCGCGAGAATCTTTGCGCTTGGACTGCTGAGAGAATCATTTCTCTGATATTGGGACCCACTTTTAATGTTAAAATGTTAAATTTGAAATAATTAGACTAGATGTAATATTCATTTTAGAGCAACAACAAAAATATTCAGGCATTGAGGCCATTGAGCATAAAAATACCACACACCAAGCAAGTAAATGTTGCTCTTACAATTAGAATAGATCAGAGACATTAAAATTACTTTGGAAAAATTTCATCATGAAACAAATTATCATGTTACTTATTTTATCTTCTATTTATTTCGATGGAACTCATATTTTTACGGGACCATCTTTTAATGTGATTTCATGAAAAATCACAGCAGAAATTTTTCTGCTGTAATATCAAGAATTTTGATTTTGTTAACTGATGTGAACGTGTGGGCGAGAGAGTTTGTTTGCGTTTGCAAATGAGCCGCTATTTGGGTTGTTAGGCATATTTTGCATACATGGGCTTTTTGCGCTGCTAGCTCTGGAATAGCTCAATTTATCTCTCCCGACTCTGTTTGCACACGTGGATTCCTTTATGGACCTTTATTAGCCCACATCAGGCCGCGCACCGCATAACATGTTTGTTTTCCGCAAAGATCTCTTCACTTGCTATGTGTGTTTGCCGTTTAATCAACATTATTAACATTTATAGGGTTTGTAATGCGATTAAAAGCGATTGTATTTCATTAATGCAGTAAATCAAATTGTTGAAGCAATAATATTATTAGACTATACAAGAATTACAAATTATGATCGTAGGATAACATCATTGACAAACTAGGAAATTCGTGATACAGATATTGAAAAAAAATTAAACACGAAAAAAGCAATGAATACGCATTAATCAAAAAACCAAAAATTTTCCCAATTAATTGCCAACATTTAATATTGGTTTAAATTATACAGCTTTGGCTTGGATTTTAGGAAATTCTTGGAGAAAAAATGGTGTAGAGCATAATATGCTATGATATTATCATAATTGAATAAATTTTATTTAATTTTATTGATTCATTGATTGCAGAAGAAGCACCACCACCGACACCTTTGCTGGAAAGCGTGGAGGACAATTACATTGCACAAACGTCTTCGTCGCCTTCACTGGTAACCTGCGCAGAGTCGGGAGCCGTGCTGGGCTTATCAGTGGAGGGAGCTGTGATGTTCGTCTTAAGGGCCTTAGAGGTAAAATAAAAAAAAATATATATATATAGTTTTCAACTCTCGGATCGATTGAAAAATCGACGAGTTTAAAGTTGCACCCAGAAAAACAACAGACAATTTTGTAACTTTTTATGCAGCGCGCGCGCCACTGCAAAAAGCAGTTTTTCTATTAACGGTTTACCTTTTACCAAAGTTAAATCCAGCGGAAAAAGGCACTCCATTGGTTCGAAACATCGTTTGAACTCGTTGGAAATTGCAGCATAGCAGTTCTAAATTTACACCGCGCGCTCTCTCACAAAATACAAAGCCACAACAAACACATAAGAGTCCCTTCCTCACTCCGCTCACACCCGCCGCGTGCTGCGAGGGGTGATATATACTCGCAGCGGCGTTTTGTGATGGAAATTTCAGCTAAACAAACACGTGGATGAACGCCCGCCCGCCCGCCCGCCCGACCGACCGATCATTGTGAAATGGAGCGTGCATCGACCAAGTCCAACGCACGCCCACCCTCTCCTGAGCCATTTGCAAACCCTTTCAACTCTCATTATTAAAAAAAAATATTGCGAAATAAAAGGAGGAAGTCAAAAGTGAAATAAAATATATGGCGGAGATGGAAAATTAAATTTTTTATGCAACCCGATCAACACAGAAATTTGGTTATTTTTAATAAAAGTTACTTTTAATTCTGATGCAGCCCTGGTGCTTGTGAAGGAAAGTTAACGATGAAAAAAAATACATGAACACCAATTTCTTTTAAAGAATAAATTGTACTGTTTAACAACAAAGAAATTTTGTTTGAATTGTCGTAAGCCAATCAGAAGCGGTACCATTTTTATAGAACCTTTTAATCTGATTGACCCTAAAACTATTAAAAAAATGTTGCATTATGGTGCACACATTGCAGTTCAGCAAAATAAATAATAAATTGTAGAAATTTTTATTCATAATATTAAATAAATAAAAAATTAATTTGTTTACAATCATTCAAAATATAAATTTTTGTATTTTCTGTGAATATGAATATTATTATAATTGTTGTTTATTTGTCCAAATTTTACTGATTTTTACATTTCATTGCTTACATTCAATTGTTGAAAACAATTGAATTGAAAATTTCAAAATTTTCCCCATACAAATATTAGTGCGTGAATATTCTAAATAAATCTGTGTGTGTGTGTCGAAATTTCTTTCTACCCCTATTTTCAATATTCATAGTAAATTATATATGCAAACTGAAATACCACATAAAAAAGTTAATTAAAAAGTTTAATTATATTTCCTGCAATAAAACCTATGATTTGATTTGTTTTGCAGGGATCAGTGTCTGCTGATTTGGCAACTTTGGAATGGATATTGAGCGGAAGTTCCTATGAATCCAGCGGGATCAACAGACCACGTCAGTCAATCAAAACTTCGCCGCCGCCGATTAATGCATTAATTTCAATGTTTTCATTTGCAGAAACCGCAAACCGTCCCAAAATCTGTGACCCCAGTTCGACCGAGTTCGTTCAAACATTCCTGTCTTGTTTCTCGTGCGTGTTGAACCCTCTGGTGTTGGTGCGGCTGCTGCTGCACCGCCTCCTCACCACCGCCACCCACCTGCAGCGGTGGAAAAGTTGTGCCTCCAGGTCCAGCTTCGCTTCGGCGCCGGACCCACCTAAGAGCCCGAGGAGCAGAGCTTCCTCCACCGACACCGAACCCAGCACCCTTCGCAAGAGGAGAAAGGTCAGTGAACTCTTCTTATTTTAAATATGTGTTAATTGTGTGCAGAATTGGTGTGTATTTTATTGACACGCTATAGGGGTTCAAAGTGGACATCAACTAATTGGAAATTTATTATTTAAATTAAAGAACTAAGTTGTGAGTTGTGAGCCATTCATATTCAGAGTTTTATATTATTGGTTTATGCATGGCTTAAGCTTGGGTCAATTTAAATATATCTCGTCGTAACATTTTTTTGTTATATAACAACAAAAACAACAAGATAAGAGAAAATTAAAAATTTACTCAGTGAAATCATTATTTATTCTTCTCAGTCGATATAAATTAATTTAAATTTTTTCTACACTAAAAATACAGGCTGACCTGAATTCCTTAAGTAAAAATAAAAAAAAATATGTTCTTTGTGATTGAATCTTTTCACCCGTTTATTTTTTCATTTTAAAAAGGAAATTCTTTTATAAAAGTCCCATATTTGAGACAAAAATAATCTCTCTTTCTAAATAGGCTGCTTTTGCTGCAAATATTACATTTTACTTATTATATTTTTAATGGAAATAGCAACCGGTTTATTTCATTTTAGAAGAGTTGAAGTCCACTTAATTTTTAAACTTTCCATTTTTGGAAAAACCTACTTTTATATATTCAGTAGAGACCCTATTGATTCCACATTTATAACGAATTGTGTGTTCACTTTTGCGTTGTTTTCGCCACGTAAAGGTCAACTTGACCCTCGACTGCATTGTAAGCGGGGATGGGGAGGAGGAGCAGGCGACTTGTCCGACGTCTTTGCACGTCGTCAAGCGACCCCTGCAGAGGCAGGAAAAGGCCCTGGCGGCCAGGGACAGTTTTGGCAGCGCCACCGCACTTGAGCCCGCCATCGCCAGCACTACTCTGTTCGCATTTTCGCACATGTTCCAGGTACATCTTTTTCACCCCAATAGTCACATTTGTTTTGTATATCGTGTGGTTTTTTTAATGCACGCCGCACACAGAAACCCACTTTAAATACACAAAATTTGCAAAAAAAAATCGGATAAAATAAATTAAATTTAAATATTATTTGGTAATTACTTTCTGAAAAGCAATATCTTGATTTGTTAAAGATATTATAACACATAAAATTCAGGAATAAAATTTCAAAAGCTATATCTAGTCTATTTAACACTGTGTAACACTGATGCTTTTCCTGATTATGAAAATCAGCAACATTTTTGTTGATAAAATCGCGACACAAATATTCATCTTAAAACTGGGCCTCAAAATTATCAGGAGTTTTGACCGAATTTTGTGAAATCACACTAAATTCCATAGAGACGATTCGAAAGGGTTAGAGGTTCAATTTTTTTCATCGCTATAATGATTGTTTGTAACTTTCCCAGACACAAATGTGTTTAATAGACTTAGAATAGAAATGTGTCAAATAAAAACCAAAGTTTCATTTACTTGTCATGTATTGCTTTCAAATTAAGACCAATAATCTTTTCCATTTTCACATTTGCAGTCGGCAAACTCAAGGGAGAGCCTGACGGATTTTGGGAGCGCCGTGGCCGCGGCGGCGGCGGCCACCGTGACGGCCATCACGGCGGCCAGCGCGTCGAGCAGCAAGTCGAACACGCCGAACGGGTCGCCGACGCTGATCGCGGGCGGCAAAAGGTCGTTCCGCTTCTCTTCAATGAAAAAGCGGCGGTCCAAGTCGCACGCCAACATTGCGCCGCCGCCCGCCAAACTGCTGCTGCAGCAACAACAGAGCAGGGAGCGTTCAAAGGAGCACGCCAAACACCGCTGCGAGAACCCCGAGCAGGAGATTTTAGCATTTCAAAGACAACTGCAAAATCTGCCCGACTTTGATTCGCCTGAGCACCCGGGACCACACGATTTAGCAGATATTTTAGCCTCAGGTGACGCGACCCATTCAAAAGCTTTGATAAAGAGTGCCCTACGTTTCATGAAAGTAGCGCAAATTTTCGTTTGATGAAAGAGATAGCAAGACAAGCAAAAAGCCTTTTTCACGCGGAAACACAAAGAGAGACTTTGATCCTTGATCCTCATAAATTTCCGTTTCAAATAACTTTTCATCGTGCATAAACTCTACTTCAAATGATGGTTTTATTTGAGTGGTTTTGAAATAAATCAGAATTTTGCTCTTGCTCGTCATTAAAAGTAATCCACCTATAATAAATCATTATTTTCACATAGCTCATTTTTAATTATAATTTCTGTCACTTACATTGGTATATGACATTGTTAAATACATAAAAAGCAATGAACTAGAGCAAACACTTAAAAAATTAAAATGAATGAAGCCACACTATATTTTTGGAAAGCTAGGATTTATGAGCTTTCTGAAGCATTTTCCTCATTGTAAAGAAACTGAAAATTTAAATAAGAAAAATTTACGAAGTTCTCTCTATTTAAATGTTTTTGTAGGCGGCAGTTGGGCAGCTCGTCCTTTTTTACGGCCTAGGTCTCGCTCCGTGCCCCGCGTGACTCCAGAGGGAGCAAGATTCCTGACCCTACCAGAGATGCCCTGGGGTGGGGGTGGGGGCATCACGCACACCGGGGGCTCCCTGCGGCTGCCCAGAGGCCGGTCGGCAGGGGCCCTCGGTCTGGACAGAACCCCCAGTCCGGCGACCACCCCTGTGGAGGAGCGGGCGGGGTCGCAACCCCCGATGGGCACCGCCAGCAGGAGGAGCAGTTTGACCCCGTCTGACAGATCGGGCGGTCGTCGCAGGGACAGTCCAGCGTGCATGCTGCTCGAAGTGCCACCCTGGCACAAGGCCATTCTCAGTTTTATTGAGGTGTGTCCAAGTTATTTAATTACAATTTTTATTTTGGCCAACGATAAAACATTTAATATCTGAATTATTATTATTTAATTTTGGCTTAAAATGATTTTTTTTCACATATCTTTAGAATCTTCTAGAAAAGTTGTATCCAAAAATTGAATAAAAAAATTCCGTTCGCGCCCCTTTAAGGAGTGGCTGCGTGTGTCTAGGGTGGACCTGGCGTGCCACCCTCCTCTGTGCAAAGAACTGCGCGACTTCCTCGTCAAAGTGTCTGCCTGCGGAATTCCGTACCAGCAGTGGAGTTGCGAACTGCGGCAAGAATTTCCATCCTTGGTTAGTGCAGAAGTTTGTTTGCCGCAAAAAGAGGCACTCATTCAAATCCTCTCTTATTTTTGCTTCCCAGACGAGAGACCCAGAGCAAGAGGCGAAAGACGACCAAGAGGAGACCGACAGCGAGTACATCGCAGTGAGTGACACGCTCTTTTATTACGCTCCCCTTTGCAGTAGTTTTCATAATTTTATTCTGAGCGTTTTTTGTGCTGGCAAGAATCTCTCTCGTGAATGAGTAATTAAATGTCAGGGCATCGCGCACAAGCGCCCTCTTGTGGTCCAAAAGAGGCGCTTTTTGCACCACGCGTCGCCAAACACAGAGACCCACTGTTGACGCGTATATAATTATACCAAGGAATGTCAGTTGTACACCAAGTCGACTTTTATATAAATACAAAAGTGCTGGCACGCTCACTTTTCATATAATGCTCGTTTGTCTAAAAAAATTAAAAATTTATGGTGATTTTGAAATCGTCGCATTTTTCCATATTTAATAGGTTCGTTTTTTCTGAATTCAAGCTTATATTACAAAGAAACTAAATTTTATCATTAATTTTAAAAATCTTCTTTTTTTAATCCTTGCCAGTTTAATGAGTTTTAATCCTACTTACTATAAACAGTTAATACTTAATTTACAAATTAAGTAGTGTAAATAATAAAGGAAGGAAATATACATCATCTTAATGAAAAAGGAACAACAATTTGGGTACACAAAATTGTGTGGATTTAAAACAAAAAAAAACTCTTGCGTTAACAAACAAAAGATTTTTAAAACAAAAGGTTAATCTGTTTCGAACGGAGCGCAAACTAAACCCCGCTCTTAGATTCTCACACCACTTAGCGCACAAAAAAAAAAAAACGCCGACAGTTATTGCAGCAGCATCCGAATGTAAATGCGACTTGCGCAGCATAAAAATCAATAGTAATTACGCCACAAAAATTTCAGCGCATCCGAAAGTCCGCATCGTGTTTGCGAGGGCGAAAATTAAATATCAAGCTAAAAAGGCGTAGGCGATGACGAAACAACGTGAAAATTAAGCTACGCAATTTCGCAGGAGAGAGTACAGAGGAAATGTTTGGGTTTGTGTTGGCGTGATAAAGTAAATATGTAAATTTTGCAAATATTCTGAAGGAACTTTGACCTATTCTTGTATTTATGTGTAATTAATTTTGTTCTCCAACTTCTGAATTTAATGCATTGCTATTAATTTAAATCATTATAAATAGCAAAAATGTTATAGTTTTTGAAAGATATAATTTATTATAGAATTTTAATTTGATTTATATTACAGGAAGCCTTCAATTTCAAAGTTATTTTATTCGCTTTTAATTCATATAGAAATGTAATATTTCCCTGATTTTTAATGGTAAGATTTGATCTTGCAGAGTACATCTGACAAATCCGAGAACTATTCATTATTCAAAATTCAACATAAAAAGGTTTCTTTCTAAATCAAAGAAGAGCATTGAAATCATTTTAGAAGTCTGCTTATAGGTGCGGAGTAAAAATAACTTAAATTCAATTTGATTCAAGCAAAAAAAATCCAATTTATTCCAGAAGTAATTTTATTTTTTAAATATTTTATTATATTTCTTTATTTACTTTTAAAGCTGCAAATGTGACTTTTAAAATTGTTTGCTAATTTTTGGAAGCCAAAATTAACTTTTAATATCACAATCTCTTGTTTATGATATGAGCATATAAAATAAACAATCGTGTTGATTTTCAAACTAAAAAAATAATAACAATGCAATCGGCTTTTTTTCTTCAAATTGGTCTTTAAAATTTATTTTCCCAGCGGTCCCTAATTTTTTTTCTCTTTAACCAATAATTATGTTTTCAAATACCTTGCAAATGATCAATTTTTACAAAATCTGTAAATGCAATAAAAATAAATTAGAATAAATTTTAACTTTTTCCAGATTCAAAATCAAATAACAAACTGTCACAAAAATACTGTTCTTCAGCATGAGTATTTTGCGAGCATATTATTGCGAGATGTGCTGCGCAGAGATGTAATAAGAAAGAAAGAGGGCGCCTCGCGGCTCCTGCTCTGCCGAGAGCCGAGGAGGAGGCGCGCTGGCGTTGCGACGGGCGGGGGACTCAAGGAAAGCGAGTTTCTTTCTACGAGTGGTGGGTCGGGCGGGCGGGCGTTCAGTCAGCGTAGTGTATCATGAGCAGCAGGTGCGATGGTCGGCGAGATGGACAGCAAGCAGAAAGTCGCGTGGCCGGTGGTTAAGGACAAGTTCGCCACGCTGGGCTCGGTGTACGAACTCAAGTGCCAGCGCAAGAAGCAGCGCGCGAACAGCGCCGCCCTCGGCGCCACCACCAATCGCCTCATCAAGAGCGCCCTCACCTTCTGGTCGGTGGAGAACCTGCTGCTGCGGCCCCCGACCGCCGCCCCCAGCATCACGGCCTGCGTCAACGAGGTGACCAAGTGCGCCCTGCACATCCTCTACCGCTCGCCGTCGGGGCCGCCCCCGCCCCCGCCGCCCCCGAAGCAAAGCGGCCGCCCCCGCAAGAGCAAGAAACCGGTCCTCCGGCTCATCACCGAGGAGGACGGCGAACTTGAGCAGGTCAAGGTCAGCCGGCTCAGCTGGACGCAGCCGAGCAGGTCCGCCTCCGGCAGTGCCGCCCCCGACCAAGGCAAAAAGAGGTTTTCGGTGCCGGCGCCTCGAATTCTCTACTGCCAGAAAACGCGCCTCCAGAGTTTCAACCACATCGTTGAACAAGTTTGCCAGCGACCAAAAAATGCAGTGAGTTTTTTTCCATAAAAGAATATCTCTGCTCTTGCATGAAAATAAATAGTGATGCAAAGTGATCGATATTTTATGAATGTATTTACGTGAATCCATATTTTGGCAATTTTCCCAGCTGAGAGTTGATGACACATTGTAACTCTTCTCCGAAGGGCTTGGAATGAAATTTGCAAACTTTTTATAATTCATTCTCAATGTATTGCATCAAGTAAAGAAAGAGAATGATCAACCGCGAGCTAGTATTCAATTAAGTTATAAGAAGAAATGCTTGGAGAAATTAACTGTGCAAATAATCTTAAATTTTTTTATTTTGAAAAATGGCAAGTTAAGGCGGCTGGGCTCTGATTATGTAAGACAAAAAAATCATTATATTATTCTTTTTTGTTTTAATTAATATCATGTTAAATCCTGAAGAAGGAAACTCTATATTTAGTTTGCAAAAAATATGCTTAAAATATGTAGTCAAATTTTATAAAATCATTAAGTTTTCTTCGGGTAATTTAGAAATGCATATTGTGGTAACCATCTGACGTATTTCTACTTTTTAAAGACAAATGCCTGACTAAATAATTTTTTTAAGTAATATATTTCTGATTTAAATTGGAGCCCACTATAATTGTTAGTTTTGTCAGTAAATTCCTCAACACACTTTCAAGTGTAGTGTCCATTGGACTTTGTTTATTTTAAGTGAAAATCTCTCAAGCCACACATCCCGATTGAAACAAGCCAACCCACCATTCCTCTGCAGATAGATTTCAATTCTGCTTATGCTCTCTTTTGAGAAAAGAAGTTTCTAACTTGAGAATTCACGGAATTCCAACTCGAAACTGTCAGCTCGGATCCTTCGCAGAATTTTAAAAAGACAAACAGGAAAGATGGGAGGACAGTGCGTACTTTACTCGCTAGTTTGGCGCCACCGATTTTAAGTAGCGTCTGATTCATCTCTTTGCTTGCCAAAAACAACCGCCCTTTTCATTAATCAGCTCGATGTGCAAAGTCATCTCTGCTTAATTTGCTCTTCAGAAGTTTTCGCGCCAGTAAATTAATCGACTTGTTGCAATTAAAAATAAGAGTTGAGATGAATAATTTTTCGGGCTAATGCAGCGCTCTTGTCACTATTGAGAGTGGAACATTTTAATGTGCTTATGGGGCAAATATACCGTGTGTGTTATTGCGAGTGACCATGAATCGCAGCACAAATTCAGTGCACAGCACACACACACACGGTTACAGCGCGCCATGAAATAAAGTGCGGCATCAGGGCCGTCTCTCATGCGGGCCACTAACATTCAACTAATTCATTTGCATATTTGCAATTTATGGGGCCTTCAAGTCGACTATTTAAATCAATACTTTCAAAATTATCTAATGTTTGCCTGATTTGAAACTGAACTTTTTATTTATTTTTAAAAGCAAGCATTTTAGTAAAATTTGGCTATTTTGTTACAATTTGAGCTTATAGACAAATCAACGCTCAATCTCTACCTAAATACAATCTTTTAGAATTTTTTAGGCAAAATTTATTTATTATTGTTATCTCATGGTTTTACTCATGCCAAAATTTTTTAAAGTTTTTATTTAAATTTTTCCAAAATATTTATATCTACTGTTATTTGTGAATTCAGATTAAAACACTTTCCTAAAATGCACAACTAGCAAGCCGTTCAGTGGTTTCAGTCAAACTTGCAAAAATTCATGAATTCATTTTTTAACCTCAAATTTAATATTATTTAGTTGTTGATTGAATAAAATGAACAATATTTCTTTTATTTTCAATTAAGAAATAAAATTGATTTTTCGTCCTCTACTGACTGTTTTGAGTCAGTAATTTCGGCTTTTGATTCGCAAATTTATCATGAAAAATTTGCCTTTTCCCAATCTTGATTTACATTGATTTCAACTAGCTTTTGTAAAAAAATCACAATTTTATGTGACAGAATGAAGCGAAGAAGGTATGTATTTTGTTAACATATTTACTAATTTAGTGAAGTTTCTAAGCACTAATAAAAAAATTTTATTCTCCGTGGTTTTCTCAAATTAAGGTCCAATTAAAGTTAAAAACTACATTATTTTAGCAAATTCTTTTGATAATGAATACATTATAATATTTTGTAGCAAATTTTCGTTTAGTTGAAAGAGATTTTGACGACAGAGGCCCATCCATTCATTGCCATGGCCCGTCCGCATCAGGTGGTCTTGACACGGCACTGACTGCTGACTGATCGGTGCTCGGTCGGTCGGCCGACTTCTTCTTGTGTATATACTTGATATTTTCAAATAGTAGTCGCGACTCTTTGGTTTAGTCGCAGCGAGTATGGCACGCCTCACATGCGAGAGCTCCAGAGCGCGAGGAGATGTTGAAACGGAGCCAAGAAAGACTTTCCTGTTATTTAATCTGTGGGAATTTATTCCGAGCCGCTCCACCGGTCCTTCGACGGACCGCGTAAAAAGAAAGAATTAAGAGAATCGCGAAAAGCTCCTTCCCATGCGTACGATTTCATTCATGAGCTGAGAGTTAATTCAAAAAATCGATCCGACTGCGGCCGTTTGCGCGCAGTTACGCTCGAAATAGAATAATGGCCCGTTTTGTTTTTGACGTGTCCGTTAATTACCCCGCGGGAGATACACACGCGTAAAACAACACACGGGTCTGACGAGTGCCAAAAGTTTGACGAAAAAGGAGTGAGTTTCGCTGAAATGGACGCGACCCCTTTCGTTTGAAGGCAGACAGACTCATCAAGTGTCTTGTGGCTTAAGAAAGTAATGTTTAATTAAGATGTACTTTTTTTAAGGTTGTCGTGGCCTTATTAGGAAAATCACATCAAATTCACGTCTTATAAATATTTTTTTTTAATAATTTACCCAGCTTTTTTAAAATTAAAATTTGCAACATTGATTTTATAAATCGGCAAAAAAATTAATTGCTCTTTTATTCTTATAGTATAAAATTGACTAAATAATAGTTTGAAACGTTCACTAACAGGAAGTAAACATTTTTAATAAAAGCCCATTTTTTATTTTAATTTTTAGTTTTTTCGGCCATTAATTACAAAAATATCATTTTTAAATATATGCAAATCAGTGTTGTTGCGTTATGTAATTCATGCTTTAGAAAAGGTGTCAAGTTTGTGAAAAAGTTGAAAAGTTCCTAAACTTTGTAGATTTTCAATCTTCACTAATTATCTGTAAGTTCATGCAAAATAATTTTTCAGCTCTTTATGGACGATGATCAGATTAGTATAAAATAAATTAAATTTTTATTTTGGCATTTCAAGTAATTTTTATAAAACTTTCCACCTTGTTGAGCAAAAGGTTTTACAACCTGCTGCGAGAAGCAATTTTTTACTACCTTGAGTATGCGTATTTTAGATAACATTCAATTAAACCTAAAAAAGAACCGAAGCCAATAACTCGATTGCACCAGATTTTAAGAAATATTCTGCACATCCGTGGTATCATTTTCAACCCATGTATAAACTCTTAAAAATTTTTGTCTATAAGAAGTAATTTTCTCTTGACACCCATCCATCTCTTCTTTGTTTACTATAATTTGTAGCCCGCCGACCTTGTCTAATTAAAACCCCGCTCGTGTGGAAAAAAGTTTTTTCACGAAGTAAATATTCATCTGCGCGGTAGCAGCACAATAAACGTGTTGTGCAAATTTCCATTTTTATGGAGCAGCCGTGAGCCGTTGTTTTAATTGCACTTCGCAGAAATCCGCATCACCGCGCGAGAGATTTTATTGAGTCGCCGGCCGGGTGATGAAATAATGCGTGTTTGCTCTGCCTCCCAGGGCTCCGAGCGTACAACACACGCCGGCTTTTCAAACTTTTTCCCGCGACAACGAATAAATTGCAACATTTCATCATCATCATCATCACCCTTCGTTCGAAAACAAATCTTGTTCCAATAAATTGGAGATTGAACATAATTTTCGATTTTATTTAAAATATAAGTATGCCTGAATATTATGCCTCTATAATTTATCAATAATATTGGGCTGAGTAAGTCTTTCGAACATGAAGATCCAAACTTTGAAATTAAATTAAATTCAATTTGTGTTTCTCTTTAAACGTGACAAAAACGGTTATTCAAAAGAAAAAAAAATCACCTGGCGATATAATTTGCAGCTAGTTCCAATGCTTATAAATATAAAATAAATTGAAGTTGATAACTTTAAATCTGCACTTTTTCATAAAGATTCTACTGTCAAACGGTGATATTTCTTTTATATTTCTTAGCAAAATGTTTGAATTGATTTGTAACGCCATCTTCCTCTGAAATATTTTTTTAAACATTTTGTTAAAATTCGTATTCAAAACAGATAAAAAAACTCCCTATTACTTCCAGGAGCAACATCGAAAAGACACATTTTTAACAAAAATGAATTTACCGGACAAAAAATCACAATATTCTGTTTTTAAAACGTTCCAAATCAACAAATATTTTGTTTAGTTTTAAATATGAATATAATTATTAGATCAAATTTTAAGCATTCTGAATTTTGGCTTTTAAATAATTACAAACTTTGAACTGCATTTTATATTTATCGTGTCTTTTGAGGTGCCATAATAACATTTGACATTTACAGCCCAAGATAATAAACTGTGATTTAACGCTGCACCTAATTAAGACATTTGAACACGGCAAAGTTCAACTCGGGAGCCAAATCCGAGTGGAAATCGAGTAGTCGACGTGTTTTATAAATCGTCCATTTTTCGAGTGGAGTATTATTTCCATAAAAAGCGTGAATATGCATTGCACGCAAGTGGCTGCAAAGCGGCGGGCGAGTTTGCCAACTACAGCATAGAAAGTTTTATGATTCCCTGCACAGCCTTAGGAAATAGGTTAGAGGTGACACATATATATTCACATCCAGCACATTTCCAAGCCGCACAAAATTTATTCGGTCTCGCGAGATTTGACAATTTTTGCACAAGGTCGGCGATCACGTCAGAAATTGGCGTTTTTTGCCCAAAATAATCACGCGGCGATTCGGGGCTACTTTTACTTTTTTGTGATAAGTGAGACAGTGCCATTGTTTTCGAGAAAATCGAAAGGTAGCGTGCAAAATGACTTGATGCTTTGTTGACACAAATAAAGACAGATTGTGTCAAGTCTCATTAAGGAACAGGTCGAGCTGCACCGGTGATTAATCAAGGAATGGAAGAATCTGATTTATTAATGAAACAATAAGAAAGGCACTTTTTTAGTCATGCCAAATATGTAAAGAGATAAAAATTATAATATTGCTTTTTTTCTAAGCTGATTGTGAGAAACATAGAAGGTCGTTAGATCAAAAGGCTAAAATCCTGCTAATAATGTTAGAATCGGAATTAAATTACTTCCTTTAAATAATAAAAAAATCTGAAAAATTAGTAAAATTGTATTCTTTATTTAATTTTTTTACGCCAAAAGATGCACAATTTTTATGTTTTTGTTCCTTCTTCCAATTTAAGGATGCTGATTTCCTCCAATATTAATTCTATAAGTCTTTAAAATTCTTCGTGTAAGATTAAATTTATTTAAAAATTTATAGGTGGAACATAATTATTTTACAGTACGTTACATTACAAAGACAGAATTGATAATTGCAAAAAAATTGTGTGAAAATATGTGTATTTGATGGAAAAAAATTATAAATTATTATTAGTTTTTTATAATTTGTTTTATTTCATTTGTTTGAGTGGGTTTCTAATTTCAGTCAATTTAAATTTCATAATCGTGCAATTTTGATGTTTTTTATTTGTTTTTATAGTAAAATGAAGCTAAAAAGTAAAATCAATTTCTTTAAATATTTCTTGGTCCAATAATTATTTTATTTGAATTCTTCAAGCAATCAATTTATTCTTCTTGTCAAATTACTCCAAAGTCTGTTAATTAATGGCGTGCACGGTTGTTAATTAATGCGACGGCAGGAGCCGTTAAATAAACAAGTAGATTCTTTTGTCTCAAGACAGGTAGCAGCTACCTGTGCTTTTTGTTTTCACTTTCTATACGGCTGAGGTCGTCAAACGCCTAGACCTTTTCGCACCGAATTTTTTTCTCATTCGCCGCGTCGGAAACTTGTTCTCAGCTGCGACGACAAGTGGTTAGTGGCGACCTGCCGTGCAGCAAAGAAGAGGCGGCGGCGCTCGCGGGCATCCAGCTGCGCCTTGAGGAGTCGTGGGGCAAACACGCCGAGGGCGCCACCCCAGCCCACGCACCCCTCTCACCCCAGGAGTTGTCCACCAGCCTCAAACCCATCTCCGAGGATAAGGTATGACAACAAATTATTTTAATTCCTAATCCGCTTTGTTTGTTAAACAAATTTAAAATACATTTTAATTTTAAAATTTAATTATTTTTAATTAACCACATTTTTAATTATCATTTCACGTTATTGTTGTGAAATTGTAACAACCTTTGCGCTGAAAGTATTATTTAAAATCACGGTGAGATAATTTTTTAAACTGTACAAAATTTCCAAATTTATTTGAAGAAAATGTTTCAATTGTTAGTAATTAAATTATTAGGCCAATTAAAATTTACCAAAACTAATAACCCCTTTTAAATTAAAAGTCACAATAATTAATTAAACTACTTAAAAATATATGCCCTGTATACAGATTTTATTTAAAAATATTTAATTTAAACTATATTTATGAAGTTATTTTAATAAAAAAAAATTATTGATTTATTTTTAACTGTCATTTCATTTGAATTTGTTTGTAAACGAGTGCCGCGAAACATAACAATTGAAGTTTCCATAAATGCCACATTGGTATATCATATAATATAATATATTATATAATTATTTTAACTAAAAAATATTTTTGTGATGAACGAAGGGTTAAAAAGTCGCAATTTTAATCATTATTCCCAATAAACTTGTTGACGTTTTGTAATTTAAGGAGAGCCTGTTGTTGCACGTGCCAAGTTTTGGGGCCGGAGCGACTCGATGCGTGAGTCCTTTGACCGAGGAGACCGAGGGCAGCGACTACGAACAGGAGTCGTCGGCACCCTCGGAGTCATCAAAGCGGAGGGGCGTTGCCGGCAGTTTCCGGCTGCAGGGCCAAATGAAGACGACGAGCCTTTTGCGGCGGTGCTACCCTTCCAGCTCGGCCCAGGCGCCTTTTCTCACCGCCCGAAGACTCGAGGACTGCTTGCCCCCCTGCTACCACTGCGCCAAAACCATGCCAAAGCTTATCAAGGTCAGTCCTAAAGTCTCCTATCTTACTCGCGATTTTTATATTGATAAGTCAACAAAAACATTATAAATTTTACTTTATTTATAAAAAATTTCTAATTCATCAAAGCGGAGGTTTTTTTAAAGCCACTTAATTTTATTTTTTATTTTTATGAGATATGATAATTAAAGCAGTTTTCATGTTTCATGTGAAAATAAAAAAGAAAAACTAGCTAGAGAGTGGTGGGGATCGTTTTTAGACAATCAAAGGTTTTAAGTGCTTAAACCGACCTTTTATCACAAATTTACACAGTGACCTTTAAGTTCTTATACACAAATCGATTCGCCATGACCTGACCTTTTAAATTATGTATCACACAATGCATTGAACCTAAAATGAAATTGGTGGTGGGGGCTATTTTTTACAAATGAGATTACAAAATCTCTTGATCTCTTTAAAATTATTTTATTCTTAAAAAAAATATGAAGTTGGTTTTCACCTTTTTGGTCACCAAAATATTCCTAACGTAAATTTTCAGTATTTAGAGGCTTGACATGTAGAAAATCCCCATTGAAAATATCAACGAAACAATTTATGAATTAAACAAAATATTTTCTTTACCAAATCGTAATTGTTCATAATGTCTTACATAATCTTTATAAAAAAAATGATATATAGAAATTTGTCAAATTTCCAAAAAAAATTAGTCACATCACAATTCTCCCTTCTTTGTTTTCTTTTTCTGAAAAAGTGCACTTCACCATTTCACAGTCTGTGGCGCCGCATTTTTTTTTTAAATTACTGTTTTTTCCCAGGGATGGTAGAGTCGCGTTTTTTGTTACTAACCCCCCAATTTTGCAGCCCACGAGCGTGGAACTCATAAATAACAATGAACAAAAAAATCCCAACAGCGACAAATTCAAAAAGGGGTCGCCGAATGTATAATTAGAAAAAATGCATCGCAATAACTCGTCCCCTTTTTCGCTTTCGTTTTTTTCCTCTGAAGCTGCCTTTGATTGTGTGAAGTGGCGCATAATTTTCTTGCGCAAACTGCCGGAAAAATCAATCGGCTTTGCGGTAATTTGTCATCGGCAGGGCACTAATCGCTTCTTCACTCGGCCGCCCGAAAGTGCGCGGTGGGCGAAAAAAATGGCGCGCGTGATCAAAGCGGGGCTCATCTTCGGGGCGATGCACAAAAGTGGCCGCTCGCGTGAGTGCGCGCATTTTGCTTTGACCACCCGTTTTTACTCTAATTACTTTGTCGCCGCTCGAGTGAATCAAAACTCTGGCTCGGCCCCACACTCTCGCCAAAGGGGACGACGGAGAGTGCTTCGATCTCCCCGTGGGGACAAAAAACACACGGCCAAGAAATTTACTGCACCCCGTGTATGCTCTATATAATTTTTGTTTCCGCACAATATTTTAAATAATCCTTTGCTTAACGGTCATTGCAAGTTCTAAATAAGAAATTCTTTTCCAAAAACAAAAGCAAATTATTAAATATCAATTAGCATAATTGAAAGTTTTCCGTTTAAAGGTGCTATGAGCTAAGTCGTTTCAGCAAGTAAATTGTAATTCTATTGAAGCAAAATGAAAATTGCACCACTTTGTTAGAATTTTTTTTAAGTTAAGGCGCTTTAATAAGAATAAATAAGTCAATATTATCATGAAATATAACAAAATAATAAAAAATTTCAAAGAAAATTTGTGCTACCTGTTCTTGTTCTATAATAGTTTTGAGTAAATAGTAAATTTAAAATTCCCCAAAAAGGTTTCAAAAAGCAAAATTCCAAAAAACAATGTAGTTTATAAACTCACATTTGTATATTGAATCAGAATGACATAATTCGGCAAGATCCATTGACAGGATGAATTTTGGAGTGAGAGGATTAAAATAAAATCAAGAAGAGTTATTGATATGTTCGAAACAATTTTCTTAGTTAGGAATTATTTAAGACAAAGACATTTTCACGATTTACTTGAAGATAAAGGTAATTGAAATTACTTCTAAATTGGAGATTAATTGAATATACAACAAAAAATGAAATATAATATTAATATTATTGAACTCAAACTGCGTCACATGTATATAGGAACACCAATTATGCAATTAACAATTTATTTAGAAGATCCGTGGCTTTGAGCACAAAAATTAAATTGAAAAACTGTCAATATCTTATCATTTGAAGGCAAGCGAGCAGAGTTGTCAAATTTTGTATATCTGCCATTGTTTATATTTATTTCATTAGCTTATCTTTCCTTATTTTTTTATAACAGGAAATTTTTAAACCGATCAACAATCTTGGTAATTACCATTTTTGGTAAAATTATTTTCTAACCAACCATTCTTTATTTTGTTATATTCAAGGGCAAAATTTTTTGGAAGGACGTTCGAGAATGAAAAATTAAGGTGTTATTAAAGGGCTGAAAAGCGTATTTCGTGAGCGTCACTCAAATTGGAGTTGCGCTCTTCGAATGTGGCTGGCGGGGAATAATAACGAAACTGCTTATTTCCGACGAGGATTGTTTTCCCCGGCGGCGGGTGCAGGGCGCGCGAATTGCAAACAAGCCGCTGCCGTTTGGGGTGGCGAAAGGGGTGCGATGCAAATCGCGGGGCGCAGATGCAAATGAGGGCGCATGCCCCGGCCCGCGGCAAGGGTGCGTTAAAACGAGCCACTTGTGGGCACCGCTCGCAGTCGCCCTGAGGCCTCTGACCTCTCAACCAGACATGTAAGTTCCTTCTCTTGTTTCTACACCCCGTCTTAACTCATTTGCAAGTCCGTGCAGCTTTTTGCCCCCGTAATCCGACCGCACTTCTCTAAATAATTACCACACGGATTTTCACTTAATCCAATTTTACTCGGGTTTCACGCTTTTATTCTCGATTGTTTTGAAGAGATTGTCTTAAATTTTGCAAGCTCTTCCTCTCTTTAATTAGTTTCATTGTGAGCAAAAGCTGTTTAAGGAGAAATATCAAATTTGGCAATCAATTTTACTATTTCTCTTTTATTTTGAAAATTTAAAACTACCTAAAAATTGAAGATTAGTTAGAATTTACAAACTTGGAAGAGATATTACATAATATTCAAAGTCATTTGAATTTATCACTTCAAACTCTTCTCACATAGCTGATGAAATTTTTATTTTTATTCTTTTATTTATACATATATATAAATTTAATGAAATGATGAAAATTTAATTTTATAAAACTTCTTCTTAAACATTGGAAAATTGAAGTGAAAACTGTAATTTTGAATTTTATTTAAATTTTTTATATCAAATCGAGAAATCTAACACTAGAGGTGGATAATCATTAAAAATTAAAACCAAAAATCCACTTAACAAAAAGTACTAAAAAAGGAAGATTTTTTTATTTCGCGACTATATTTATGGAAGTCTAAGTAAAAATTATAAAGATATATTATATTTTATATATATTTTTTTTTGTAACAATTTTTTGGTAAAATAAATTATATTTTTTAAATTCGTTTACAAAATTTGTTCCAAATCATCTCACTTTTGATGATCGATTCTGGTTTCTGGTACTTTGATGCTGAAATTGTAATTTAAGTTGGAAAACAAATTTCTAACTAATATCAAAGTTTCTGCCGATGAAGAACACACAGTAAAATGTAGAACTTGTGCAACTTTTTAAATTGAACTAATTCCTTATGTACCTTCACTCAGAAAAAGCAATTTTAATCAGGGAGCGAAAACCCAAGAGCTAATCCGGCCTGTTTAAAAAAAACGCATTAGCAACTGTATTCCTCTGCCTTTTTTCGTTTAACTTTGGTTGTTGCGTCAGTTTTGTTTCGACTCCACAAAGGAAGCAAATTAAAATGCGGGCACATTTATAAAAGTTGCAGAGGGGTGGTTGTATTTTGTATTTCTTGTTCACGACATATAATGATGGAATATATAAATTCTTTTTTCCTCGGCCTTTCATCGACGAATGAAATTGCGTCCGCCTGTTTATTTCTCTGTATATAAACGAACGGGAGCATTTTTCCATTTCTGATTAAAGCGTCTCGGTTGGACGCGTCCAGCTCACAGGTCAACAGGTTGCTCGCCGCCGATATTATTATTTTTTCCTCCGTCGGCCGCGTGGGCATTGTGTCGCCGCTTAATCCTTTATGCGGATTAATTAATGGCCGGCCGGTTCGTCAGGAGAGCTCATTCACGGCCGCTTTGCCCGATTGTCCCCTGTTAATTAACTCTCCACTTTTTTTTCCATCCTCGTCTGCTCTCGCTCTCTATTTATTTTCATTTTGTTGTTTCCTCTATTTACTCACACACGCGCGAAAAAAAAAGAGGGGACCGGACACAACGGCTGCTGCTTGATGAATCCGCGAAACTATTATATTGGTCCCTGTTTTTCAATAGCCTCTACTTTTTTCCCGTAATCTTTTTCGGGCACACGTCGCCATTGTCCGCGATGAAAAGGAGAGAAAGAGAAAGGCAATGGTCCTCTCTTTGTGGCTTCCATCTGAATGAGGGACACTCTTTCTCTATTTCAATCAAAATTCTTTTTTTTTCACTAAACCAGGCGGGAAACTTAAAAATTCAGCAAAGAAATGAAGAGTTTGTATGCTTGAATTCAAATCACATATTTTCGACAAACCATTTTCAACTTTATTAAATAATAGTAATAGTTCAATAATAATTATTAAATAATAGTAATAGTTCAATAATAATTGGGAAAAAATCACAGAAATTAATGTATTTTCAAGTAGGCTCAGAATATAAAAAGATCCAAAGTTGAAATCCTGATAGATCTTCAAGTGAAAATTTTTATTAAACAATTTTTGGGCCAAAATTTACTATATTATTTGCGAGTTTTACACTGCCAATTATTTTTCAAAAAACCACAGAGATATTATTTGAAAATTCTATTTCATTCTGTAATTTAAATGTTTTTAATCTTGTAATCCTTTTAAGTTGATTGAAATCAAATCCATTTTAGGATTGAAAATGAGACTTATCAAGACATAAAAGTTTTCTTTTTCTTTTTTACTTAAGAATTATTTAAATTTCACTCCTTTCGATGTTAAAATCCCGAAATCATCAAAAAAGGAAACTGTTTCTTTTTTATGATTTTACAAGTTAACCAACTAATGTTTATTTTAACAATTCAAACCCACTTTGATTTACCTTATTGTCATAGTAAATTTTCTCATCAGTCTGCAAATTAAATAAACATACTTGATTCTTAAACTTTCAAAAACAAAAGGCTGACACATAGAAGAAAGAAATGGACGAGTTGCCAACAAAAAAAGCAATGTAGGTCTGTGGCTTTTTCAGGACGGCAACTGGAAGCCAATCAGATCTGAATTCAAACACAATTCCGCGAAGTTGGATGAACTTCTCCTTATTCTAGTAAATAAATCGGAAAGAAACAAGGTGCTCTTTTTCTGGCCCCTATAGCTTGTTTGGATTCAGTCTCTCTCTCTCTATCTCTCTCTCGGCGAGATTTATTATTCCTCGTTGGGCAAATATTTACGCTTGAGACGTTTTTAGAACTGCATGGCTACGCGATGGCATAATAACTAAGTAACCAACCAACGTTGCCCCTCCTTGGCGGTGAATTAGGCAATTTGCACAACATCGCATTTAGCAAAACACAAATTTTGCAGCTATTGAATTAGGTCCGGGCTTTGGTAAGGGGGTGGGGGACTGCAAATGATTGCCAGTGGTAATTTCATTTCCTGCTGCGCGTCCAGGAAATTGTCAAATCTTGTTACCCCTGGCTGCGTCCCGCGCTAAATTGGGCAAAGTGCTCTTCTTCTTTTACCTGCTCGCACATATATTGATTGCATGCATCGTTTGACGACTCCGTGTAAGAATAAAAGAGACTAATATGCAACTAACAAAGCAACTTCTTTAACAAAAAAAATTGTTAATGGGTAAAATTCTGGCTGTTAATCGTATTTTTCAAAACAATTTTTTTTTATTGGTGAATAAAAACTGTTGTAGAAGACTTAAGCATAAAATAAAATAAAAATTCATAGTTTGTACGTGAAATTATAATTATTTTTTAATTTTAAACTTTTTTACTATACCGATTATAAATTATTCAATTGATGGTTAAGTTGTTTATTTCCAGCAAAAAAATACGGTTAATAAATTATTTTATTTATGCTACAAGTAAAATGTAAAATGTCCTTTCAAATGTGAATATGTAATATTGAGTTTGTTTTCCCGTAAAAGTTTATAACTTTAATAGTGACTTTTTTTTAATAGATTCAAATTTTCAATTATTATTGCGCTTTTAATTCCAAACCTTATTGATGGATTTTAATAAATAACAAGAAATATACATTAAAAATAAAAATTATTTTGGTAATTTAGGAAAAATTGGTCAAATTTTGTGTTAATTAACACAATTAAATTATATTTAAACCATTAATGATGTTTTTCTCAATAAGAAAATTATTATTCCCCACTAGAATTGCTGGTTACAGGCCATTTTTATATATTGAGTGACTAAAGATGCATTGAATAAAAATCGATATTCGCTGCCTTTTATGATGGAAAATCAAATTATGCCTGCAGGAGCAAAAGCGGAAACTTTTCCACACGTCGGTGTATGAGTCGGAGGTGCAGCTGAAGAAGTTGTACATCCAGACTTGCAAGCGGCTCCCCTGCTATGGCTGCAAAGTGTATCAAGTCAAAGAACTGCTCAGAGGCAAAACCAAAAAGAAGGTAAGAGAGGCTGCAAATGTTTGTCTCAATGATTTTTATTGTCTCGAAATTTGGCTGGCGGGATCGAATATTTCAGCAGCTTTCAAATATTTTCCAGACTGCGCGGCTGCTCGGACTAGGCTCGGAGAAAATAGTGCTGCTCGACACAAAGACTAAAATCCTCGCCAAAGCTCAAAATACGCTTGATCTTTTACAGGTAAAGAACAATTTTAAATTGAAGAAATAGCAATTTCGTCAGCAGTTTGCTGAATTTTTAATACAATTAAGTTTAAATTTTATTATTTTATATCCAAAAAGTGCTATTCAAAAATTATTTAAAATGTTGTCTAATGTCTTCATCTTTGAAGTGTGTAAAAATTTACAGTAGAGATTCTAAAATATAATTTTAAGCTTTAACATTCCAACCTTTAAAAGAATTGACAGAAAATTTACTTTTTTATTAATTAAATTTAGATCCTTATAATTATGTTTAATAAAATGAAAACGGCAGAATCTATCAAAATATCATTTACGAAATCTCGATTTGATGGGAATTTCCGAAAGAGGTAGAGCATGAATTTTATTCAGATCGATTGTGCGTTTTGGATTAATGGGTTTATGGGAGCAACGTGACTGATATTGATTTTGGCGGGCAGTGGAGAACAGGAGGAGGTCGTTCCCATGACAGACTACAGTTGGAATTCCGAGGATCAAGGTGGCAACTGGCTGTGCCCTCTCCTTCCACGATGCGTGAGGTTGGCCTGGCGCTATGGGAGATTTTACAGGTGCTTTTCAAACTAGATTTTTCTCTTTCGCGTGCGATGCACCTCGGATAATCGAAAATACCAAAATTTTTTTGCAGGAACTCGACCACAGCTCCACGTCATTCTTGGACAGCGTCTCCCTGCTTTTTCCCCCCTCCCCCACCAGGAGAAGCAAGGGTGAGTACTGATTCAGATTTTATTAATAATTTAGTCCTAATACCGCTTTTATTTTTTTTTCACTTCAAACTTAGAAAAGTTTCATTAGATTTGTAAATAATTATGCCTAAAATTTACATTTTTTTTCATTAATGGTGGATTTAGTTTCTAAAATGTACCAGCTAGTAACTTTGAAATTTATTTGCATAAAAACCATGAACACATTACTTAATACATAATATACGTACAAATTTTTAGATAACTTACTCCCAAAAATTAACTATGTATTATTTTTTACTTTGATAACTCAGGCATTAATTAAATATATATCCTTTGAGTGGTGAAAAATCCTTCAATTTGACAAATTAAGGAATATCTAAAAACATTTCAAAACAATAGAATTAACAAAAAATAAATATTATAGCACAAAAAGGGCAAAGGTCATCTATTGACTAAAATAATTTATTTCTCACAAAACTGGCACCAAGCAGGTTAAATCAACAGAAAGAATAAATTGTGTTAATAAGAAATTTTTCGCTGGTCAAACAAAATAATTAAACTTCACATTATTTTTATCCTGCAGTATTTTTACGGCAAATATTTGCCCTAAAAATTTATTTTTATTCCCCCAGTAGTTTTGTAAATATTAGTACGTTGAAAAGTAATCAATCACACTGAACCAGCAAACATTATTAGTTTATTAGTTGGTCCGAAACAAAAATAAAGTGCACTTAACCATACACAGACAGACAAGAAAACACGCATTATAATTTTAATAAATATAAGAATTAAGGTTTACTTTTGTTGGAAAAATTTTTGAAAATTGGAAATGCGGAGGAGAATGATGTGTATGATTGGTGTGACTCGCAGCTGAGCCTGCAAGTGCGGCAACAGTGAAGAGATCTCTACATACCCTCCAGGTGCCGGTGGTGTACGCGAGCGAGCTGGAGGCGCTCTACCGGCTGCTGCACTTCCCCGAGGAGGTGGCCCTCCGACTGACCGCCACCGAGCACCACCTCTTCTACCAGGTGCCCCCCATCGACTACCTCCGCCAGGTCACCCTCGACCTTGCCACAGGCGCCACCAACCCCCCGCCCCCCGACGATGGGATGGCGGGGGTGGCTGCGGCCGCCGCCGCCGCCAACACGGCCGCTGCCTCCGCCACGCCGGCCAGACCCTCGGTCCGCGACCTTATCAAGAGGTTCAACGAGGTTAGCACACAACAATTTTGCATCAATCAGAGATCTGGACGCAAAACCAAATCGGCAATAAATTTTTTGATTCAATCGCTGCTGACACAAATCATGAAATTTCAATAGAAACTCATCTAATAGCGCCTTAAAATGTTCTAAAACCATAGATTTAGCAATCAAAAATAATATAGATAACTCGCACGAGTGAAATTCTTTAAAAAAAAATGAACTTTTCAAAATATTCATTTTCCACTTTCCCCTCTAGACAAGGCTCTTGTTTTGTTTTTCTCCTTTAAATTTATTTTTTTGCAGAAAAATTTGTTATCAGTGCATTCAGCTTGCATTGGAGAAATTGTTAACATATTAAAATTGCATCATTCGTTGAAAAAGAGAGCACAAAAATTAACATAAATATTTTGTAGGGATAATTTGGTGCTAAATAATTTAATTAATTTAATTCTCCATTAAATTTATATCTCTATTAAAATTTCATGCCATTTTTCCTATCTATGCGAAAAAAACTGTTCTAAAAGCAATGGTTTTGATAATAAAAAGCACATTATGACAAAAATGATTTTTTTTTTCACTTTCAATCAATGTCCTAATGGCCCTTGGAAAAGGCTTTGCCAAAAATTTGAACACCAAAATCTGTTATCAGTTTGCAAATTTTACCCTATATTTTTTTTAAGAAACCTTCTACTGCCATTTATTTATCTGAATAATTTTGTTATGGCTCGGCAGGTGAGTTCGTGGGTCACGCACCTGATCATCTCTCAGCCAACCCATGAAGATCGCAAGGCCGTCCTTTCGTGCATCCTGCGCGTGGCGCTGTCCTGCTGGAACATGGCCAACTTCAACGGCGCCATGGAGATCGTCGCTGGTCTAAAGTGAGTGTAATATTTTTCTAAATAATTTCAGCGGCAAGAAGGAAGAGAAGGGCGCATTTGGGTGTGGGGCAGGGGTTTCTTTCGGCCTCCAGCCGCTAAGTAAGTTGTAGGCCGGCGGAAACTACTTGCCCTCCACTCCAAAGTATCACCTGGAAAACCTGCATCTTTCAAGCGACGCATCAATTTTTGTATTTTTGAAATGAAATAAAATTGAACCCGATTCAATTGATGACTTTTTCTTAACAATTTTAAAAGATGTGAGGTAAAAAACAAATTGGGAAAATCACAAGCGCGTGCTCCACATTTGTTTCAGGTCGAAAAAGCTGAAGCCGTTTTGGTTGTCCATCACCGAAAAGGAGTCTGTACCTGTGCTGGATTTTTTGTCCGCGGCCCTCATGTCTGCTGAGTACGAGCGGGCCCTGGCCAGGGCGCTGGCCATGCCCGAGTGCAGGGTGGTGCCCTTTTTCGGCGCCTTCCTGCGCGAGCTCAGGGAGATCGTCTCCAACACGCCTAGCCTGGTGGTGCTGGCACCACCCGGCGCTGGAGAGGCGGCAAGATTGGAGGTTTGTACCAAAAATTATAAATCACATTCGCTTCTAAAACTGAGTTTTATAACGGCTGAGCACAAAAATGCTTCTTAGGGTCATGAATTTAAAAAAAAAAAAAAAAAAATACAATAAGTGTATTAAAAAATTACCTAGGCTGTGATGTCCATTTCTTAATTGAAAGAGGTTGGAATTTGTATGGTTTTACTAATTAAACTCATCAAGACAATTCTAAAAAATGTTAAGAGTTAATTTTATTTTAGAACAGAACTACTGACATAATTGGTTTCAGCATAGAGATCATTCGGTAACATAAATCGTTTTTTGACAAAAAATAACAGTGTTTTCTGACTTAAGATTTTCCTTAGCTAACGCAAAAAAAAATTAATTAACATGAATTGTTTTTGCTAATTTTTAAGGCTTTTTCATTATTTGAAGTTTTGTTGGCCCTTTGACCAGAACTGCTATTTTTCTTATCTTATAACAAGGTTTTTACGTTTTTGTCCGTCTTGAAACTCTTGAATCGTCTTGGTAAGGAATTTTTTCTGAATAAGTTTTGCAAAAGTTTTCAACCCCTTTAATGCACTTGTGAGCTTTGCGCGCTTGACCATTTTTTTTTTGCTGTGACGCGACCCTAGCAGATGGGCAAAGGGACGCGCAGGAGGCCTAGTTCGCGGCGCCAGAGTTCCGGCAGCGGCACTTTTCCGCCCCAACCAATGCGCAGCGCAGGGACCAGGCAAATGGTACGTGGTGTCATTGGGTGTCACAAAAACTCGAGGAGGAATGCTTTGACGTTTTTGCGATTAAAAAATTTGTCCGGAAATGCAAGAATGTAATTAAAGGGAGGCCTAAAATTGAAATCAAGAAGACAAAATGCAGAGGTGTATTTATTTATCTCCGCAAATTTAGGCTTCAATTTATGCATGGAAGTAAATTCAGAACCGGCACTTTGTTCTCAAAATTTGTCACTTTCTCAAGTAAACTTGCGTACTTAAATTTTGAGTGTTATGTTTTATTGTAAAATCTTGTCGCATGGTGTCTTCTGTTGTTAAAACGAAGAAACGTATTTAAATCAATATCTCATATAAAATGAAATTTTGTAAATTAATAAAAGATTAATTAAAATGTAAAATAAAACTCTTTAAAGTCGCACTTTCCGAAACCTCGCACACAGGCACACGTTTGTTTGATTTGGTCACAATTAAGGCTCCCTGGACAGTTTTGTCTCTCTGGAACCTCCTCTGTGCATTACCGACCCAGTGGCAGCACGTGCCGTTTTCGATTTTCCTCTCTTTCTCTCTCTCAGCACCAAATTTTTATGCTTTTTCGGCTCGTTTACTTTTCGCCCTAATCGAGGTTGGCGGCTTTTGCTCGCGTTGCAGTTCATCTCGGATTACAATGGCGAGGACCATTTCTTCACGCGCATCGGTCCGGGAGGCCTCATCAACTTGGACAAGGTGTACCGGACGCAGGCAGTCATGGACAGAATCGCCTCCTTCCACCAGCACTTCCACGCGCGCACCAGAAACGAAATTTCTAGGGAGCCAGTCAGGTTTGTTGCGTTCATTCTCTTGCTTTATATTTCCGCATATCAATTTAATAATTTTTGTTTTGTGAAATTTGATAGGGGTTCTGCTGAATTTTCAGTTACAAATTAGAAAATATAGAACAACGATTTGAAATTTTTAAGGATTTTCTTATCTTATGATAAGGATAGAAAATTTCGTATATTTGACGAAAAATAGGTTCGAGGCGTAAAAAGACGAAATATTTTTAATCATACTCGCATCGAAGAAAAAAATAAATTTTTAACTGCCGTAAACAGATTAATAAAAAATTTCGTGATATATGTATATCAGAATTATCAATAATATTGTGAAATTTAGAAATGAAAATAAAATATTAATAGTAAAAACTTCTAAATCAACAACAATAAAAATGTAGCCAATATGTTTTGAAAATTGTACTTCATGAAAAAGTTGAATTTTTAAATAGTTTAATTAAATTTAGGTTTCGTCTGAAAAATACAAAAAATTTATTAATGCCAGCTTCACCTTTTAATTATTAATGCTTTTGCTTGGAGCTATAAAACATTTAATAACTGATGTTCAAGAAGAAATTGATACATTATCATTGGAAAGGTCAGGTCACAAGCAATCGATTAGTGACCATCACAAACTTGAAGTTCACCAACTCACCTTATCAACGTTTTGGGAAAATGGGCCAAGCTGTTTATAATTTGTTAAAAATTCATTTAAGGACTCCTTATTGACATAGTCAAATCAAGTCTTTACAACAATGGTTTGTTTTTTTCCCAATAATTGCCCGAAATGGCTTCTATTGTTGTAAAGACTTGATTTGACTATGTCAATAAGGAGTTCTTAATAATTATTCCAAAAATCACACGCTATTTTTTTACAATAACCGTTATTTGCAATAATCTAATGTCAGAATGCATTGTTGTGGGAATAAAAAAAAAAACTATGACAACATTCAAATTAAAAGGCATCCAATATAAATAATTTAGAATATGCATTATTTTACCAAAGATATTGTAATATTATTTATTTTGATTTATTTTGAAGTGAATAAACTTTTGAATTGTTGTGTTGCTCACAGCAGCATCCACACTTCGAGCATCGAGCGGTCGTACCTGGTGCAGGAAAACGAGGAGCACGACTACCGGTTAGACCTGGACAACTACAAGCCTGTGCAATCCATGTACCACGATCACGGCGTCAGTTTCTTCCCCATTTCGGCGCCGCATTCGGGCCTGGACCACCACGTTCTGCAGGTGCGCAAATACAATCATTATTTTAAGGGCATGTCAATATTTGCGTGGCCGGCGGAGAGGAGCGCGCCAATCTCGCTGCGCTTTCCACAGAAAAAAAGGAATAAAAGATGAGCAGGGTGGATGACCCGCGCGACGGGCGGGCGCTGCGGGTTGCGTGAACGTCTATCGTGCAGGGAAGCACAAATGTTAACAATATTTCTAGCAGCTCGGATTATTTTCTTACTATAGAAATTTAAAGAAATGAAGTTAATAGCAGAAATCTTCTCCGTAAAATTTTATGATAAAAATTAAAAAAGATGATATTATTGCTACCATTTTGTGATCAATCAGAAAGGTTTTTTTTTTATTGTTGAACACTCACAAACTTAGGTTATAGCGCAGGTCAAGGAAACCTCTGATAAATGTGGCAAAATTGGAATTTTCTCTCATTTTTTTTTTAAACAGAAGGAAAATACATAATATAATTTTCTGACTCTGAGAAACTTTTCTGGCAAAATAACAACTTTGAGTTAGGTGGAAGTTTATTAACGACAACATTTCTTCACTTGCTCTTTCCGTGTGACCTTCCTTTATAAATTAAAGATTAATTTAACACATATTGGGTGGGTGTTAATTCGAGTTTGCCATCAACTAAATTATTTGCTATCTGAGGCATTCTGAGATCAATTTATTCCTTCAAATTATGTTCCTCTTCCCTGCTTTTTAATTAATAATAATTGAACTACGATCTATTTTAATTTTAAAAAAAGATCCAGAGATCCAGAACTAAGTCGTTCACCTTTTGAAGCAATATTTTTGTACTTGTAGACCAAACAGAAATATGTTCTGAATTAATTATATTTTTTTTTAAATTATATTTCGTTTCTAACGCAAATAATTTTGATTAAAATCCCAATCAACTTAAATGATTGTTTAAAGGTGATGCACCACGGTAGCACCGCAGTGCATTATGAGACAGATGGGTCGCGGTCCGCGTTGGTGTACATGCGGCTGGAGCGGAGCTGCTCAACGCTGACGTGGACGCGGCCGTGCTGGAGCGGCCTGCGGGGGGCGGCGGCCGGCGGCCCTGACTACTGCCTCTCAGCCAACCCCGAAGAAAACATCCCGCCCAGCATGGCCCTCAAGTTCGCTTCCAGCGCCGGCGGGGGTGGCGGAGGCGGCAGTGGTGGTGGGGCGGGTGGCCTTGGGGGTGCGGGGGCGTGCCAGGGCGAAGTGGCCGCCGCCGGCCTTGAGGAGGGCTACCTTGAGCTCAGCGCTGTCAAGGAAATCGTTCTGGGTGGAGGCGGCAAGGACAAGGATCCGGACATCGCTTCCACGGCTAGACGCTTCGGCCTTGAGAAGTTCCATGGCTCAGAAAACTGCTTGGCCTTAGTCTACGGCGCTAACCTCAGCGACAACCGCGTGCTTATGTTCCTATGCCCACCACTTATGTGCAAGTGAGTTTGAATTTTAACTATAATAAATGAATTGTAAAAAAATTCAGCTTTTATTTTTGTGGGTAATATAATGTTTATATTGTTTCTTAAGTAAATATGAGCATTTTTTGTCTCTAAATAAAATTCAAATAGTAATAGTGCTAAATATTTTTTGAATATGGACCAATTATTTCAACAAAATATTTAACAGATTTTATTTTATTTGAATAAAATGCAACAATATAGACTTTCATGTAAATTTTTCATTTTATATAATAATTGTGGAATGAACTGCAGGGTGTGGTACCAAGGCCTCTGTTGGGTAGTGCGAGGCCTAAAGCGGCAAATGCAGTTGACTGACCGGCGGATCATGTGGCTCAAGGAGCAATACCTGCAGCTCTACTTTGACGAAATGTGCGGTGGGCCAATGACCGCTGACGCAATTAGAGTAATATTATAATCAAAATCTTTTTTTCTGTTAATTAATTTTTAACTCCAAAGGTATTTGGAGGACGAGACTGGACGTTGACTGGAAACATTGTTGGCATGTCTCCACCTGACAACGGCACCCTTAAGAGAGGCCAATCCACGAAATTTAGGAAAAAGAAGTCAATTACAAACATCCAAAATATGAAAGTAATAATCTTGTTAAAAAAAATATATAGATTTGAAATTAAAAATTAATTAAAATCAGGACATTGGCACCAAACCCCTTGACTTGAGCAGAGAAGGTGCCCTTTCGACATCTCGGAGGTCAGTGACCGCTGCAAATCCGCCAAGATCATGGTCGATTTCGAGCGAAATCGACACCAACAGGTCCTCAGTGTTGGCTGCCGTGCAGAATGCAGGGAGCACCACACCCTCAGGCTCCTCTGAGCACCTGGATAACCTTTACCCAAGCACTTCGTTCAATTATCCTGGTCTGCAGAGAGAGAAAAAAGCGGCCGGGAGCGAATACCTGCAAATCAGACAGTTCCGAGCGGGCTCTATTACAAATGAAACGCAATTAGACTTCATTGACTTTGTCAACCTTTTTAGATCATTTAGGTAAATGAACAAAATTTTCCCTAACTGTGTATTTTTAATTTTTTTTTCTTGTTTTTTTTTTAACAGTTTAAGGTTAAGAAAAGACTTAAGGGAACTATTTGAGCAGTTTGCAACTGTGTGCCGAACAACTTCAGATGGATCGCTCAGTGACAGCAGCCACAAAAATTCACCCGAACATTCCACGCTCAACAAGCAGAAAATAGGTAATTTATTTGATTACCGTCTTATGGAGTCTTATTTGAGTGTTCACTTTTCATTAAAAACCCCCAAAATTCGACTTTATTTAAATTTCAAATTCATCTAAATTTCAGGCCTTTTGACGAGAAACAGTTCAAATGACTTGCTGGACAAAGGATTGAGCAATAAGAAGAAGATCTTTGACGCAATTGCCGCGGCAAGCATCGTGAGCAACTGCGCAGGGGTGGACACAAGCAAGAGCCAGGTGATAACCCTGGCCAGTTTCTGCAAGTTTCTCGAGACCAAGCAGATGGAGCAGCACTCGGAAGAGGAGGTCAAGGCCCTCATCCAGCGCCACGAGCCCGACCTGCTGCTCAGGGCACAGAACAACCTGTCCTTCGAGGGTTTTGCCAGGTACCTTATGGATAAGGACAACTACGCCTTTGTCAGTGAAAGGGTCGCCCCCGATGAGACTGAAATGGACCAGAGTTTGTCCCACTACTTCATCGCCTCCTCTCACAACACCTACCTCACAGGCCACCAACTCAAGGGAGAGTCCTCTGTTGAGTTGTACAGCCAGGTATATTTATCTACCTTCAGTATACCTTTTTGCAATGGGTCAATTTACAAAATTAATAATAATAATTGAAGACTTTTCATGACTTTCAATGCGACATTTTTTGTTTTTTGTTTTGTTTTTTGTTTTTAGAAACTTAAAAAATTTATAGCTAGTCCCATTCATTGATTTTTGTCCAAGTTTTTTAATTGTTATATAGAGATCTGATCAGGATCTCACTCAAATATGGAATTTCAATTTTTCAGAATTTTAAAAATTGCATAATAAGTTCTATTTTGATGCAAATCAAAATTTATTTTAAAATTTTAATTTCATATAATTCTTAGGTGCTTTTAACCGGTTGCCGATGTGTGGAGTTAGACTGTTGGGACGGCGACGACGGCTCTCCCCTGATCTACCACGGCCACACCTTTACTACCAAAATACCCTTCAGGTCTGTGGTTGAAGCCATCAACAGGTCCGCCTTTGTCACCTCCCCCTTCCCTGTGATCCTCAGCATTGAAAACCACTGCTCAGTGCAACAGCAGGCCAGAATGGCGCACATCTTTCAAGTGATTAAACCGTGTATTTAAATTTTAGAAAATAAATTTTAAATTGAAATTGTAGTCCGTCTTTGGAGACAAATTGGTGACAAAATTCCTGTACGAAGCCGACTTCAGCGACGATCCCTGTCTTCCGTCCCCAGGCCAACTCAGGCACAGGATTTTGATCAAGAACAAGAAACTGATGGCTGACATTCAAATGGCGCCAAGGGGCACCAGAGGCCAGGGCGCCTTCCCATCTGTCAACAAAGCGGCGTCTGGGAGGGCATCCAGCATTGTGAGCAACACCAGTGGCGGGTCAGTCAATGACGAGTTCAGCGAAGATGATGATGACGACGATGACGACGAAGATGAAAATCTAGATGGTGAGTTGAGAGGGGTTCAAGTCAAACAATTTCAATTCCAAAATATATTTTTTTTAATTTTGCTTAATTTTTTTTCAAGTTTGAAAGCTGTTTATTTGAAAATCGTAAATATATCTATAGACACCTTTAGAATTGCATTTTTTGTGCTTTTTTTCTAATTGTAAATTTGAAAAAAAAAAAAAAAACTACAGCATTAACAAAAATCCGTTTTAAATGATAATTCAAGAAGACAAAAGCAGTTCCTTGGCCAAGTCGTCCTCTCTGGGTCCGAGGACGGACTCGATTTCAAGCCACGAAGGCGCCGGTCTGAGGGATATGCGCCACTCACACCCCTCTGTGCCTCACACTGCCCTTAGAAGTCAGGACTGGCTATTCGACGACGACTTCAGCTCCCACAAACCAAAGAAGCAGAGCAGCCAAATCGCCAAAGAACTGTCCGACATGATTGTCTACATTCAGGCCATCAAGTTCAGGACATTGAACACCATCAGTCCAAACAGCTCTGTCAGGAGCCGGAGACCTGCACCTTCAGGAACTACGTCTTCTGGCATGAAAAAGGGCACCAATACTCCCTCAGGTAAGAATAAGTTTTTCAAAAATGTTCTTTCTCATAATTATTTAATTATAATTGCACTTTTATTAATAAGAGTAAAAAATTATAAGTGCAGAATTTTATCAATTATACTAAAAGTACCCACTATCCAACAATTATTGAAACTTATTTCTAAAAAAAAAAAAAAAAAAATTTAAATTTATTGTTTAAATTTTTGCAGGTTTGCCTCAGCAGGGGACATCAGTGCCAGGCACCCCTACCAATACGGGCGCCACCTCTTCGATCAGCACCTCGAGCGCCTCCTCGTCACTGATTTTTGCAACCACAATGCCACTGGAGTCAAGTCTGGCCCCCGGGGCACACTCGAGCTTCACTAAGAGGCCCAACGTGAACCACCCATGCTACCAGTGCTCCAGTCTGAACGAAAACTCAGCCAAGAAACTATGCCGGAAGCAGCCTCATGCCTTGGTCGCCCACACCGAGACCCAGCTGATGCGCACCTACCCTGCCGGAATGCGAATTGACTCGTCCAACTTCAACCCAGTTATCTTCTGGGCCTTCGGCATCCAAATGGTGGCCCTCAACTACCAGACAGAGGACGCTGCTCTCCACCTCAACACTGCAATGTTCGAGCAGAACGGCAGGTGTGGCTATGTCCGTAAACCAGCAGTCATGTGGGACAGGTAGGAAAAACCGTTGTTGTTGTTGTTAGGAAAAACCGTCTTCTGCTCTTACAATTAGTTAAAATAAAATATTTTGGGTTAATTGTTCTTTTCAACTCGTTTTCCAACAAAAAAATGTATGGGTAGGCGACCTGCAAGAAATAAAAGCCGTGCGGGTTGCATCTTCTTCATGTCAAGGGGCTATATTTTTAAATCCCCTCAAATTAATATCCATGAAAATATTTTTCACCTACATGGATAGATGATTCCAAGATCCTTTTAAGAAATTTTAATTTCTTGAAATTTAAAATCCTACACGCAAATTTATAGAAAAATTAAAGCTCCACAAATTATTTAAAATTCTTTCTACCTATAATATTATTTATGATGTCTCATTAGAAATTATAATATAGATTCTTATTTTCAATCACAAAGCTTATAAACTTATTTAATTAATTCCTATTTAAATTGTTTTGTAGAGGTCACATGATGTACAGGAGGTTCAATCCGTGGGACAAAGAATTTGATGGACTGCACTCAGTCCACCTGGTGCTGACCATCGTCTCAGGGCAGTACGTCAGTCAAAACAACCTGAGCTCAAGTCTATACGTGGAGGTTGAGGTTATTGGCATTCCCGTTGACTGCGCAAAACAGAAAACCAAAATCATCCAACGCAACGCCATCAACCCCATCTGGAATGACGCTTTCTTTTTCCAAATCATGTTCAGGTTAGTGTTAACATTAAAAAATTGATACCCGTTTTATTCATTTTTTTTTTGCAGAGAGTTGGCGTTTGTGCGGTTCAGTGTGATGGACGCCAACACCAACCACCTTCTGTCACAAAGGGTGCTACCTTTGACCAGGTTGCGACCTGGGTACCGCCATGTCCGTCTCCGCTCGCCGCAAAACCAACCGATGCAGCTCTCCACGCTGTTTGTGTACTCGCGCACCGAGGAGGAAAGTCTAGACACCCTGGAGAACAATGAGGTGCCCACCCACCTGAGCGGCTCAACCTCTGTACCTGAGAAGGCGCGAAAGGAGAAAGAACAGGCTGAGCTTATCGAGAGCGTCACCGTGCCACTCAAAAGACGCATGTTCTTCCTAATGGTGAGTTTAAATAAGGACCCAGGTTTTTCTTATTTCCGAATTCCGAATTGAGTGGTTGAAAAATCATACAATTGGGTTAGGCCATGAATTTACATTTTTTGGAAAATATTTTTTTCTTTAAATTTAGTCATGAAACCCAAATCTCTTTATTTTTTGTGAAGGTGTTTGGCGTCATACCTGACGAGCCGTATACAATCCTGAAGATCACCCAGGAGAGCACGACTCAAGAAGTAATAGTGCAGGCCCTGCAGAAGGCCAACCTGGGCGCTGACAAGGCCCAGGACTACATCCTGGTGGAGGAGGTGGCGCGCAGCTGGGAGAAGAAGGATCGCGACATGCCCGCCACGCAGAGGGTCCTCGACCTGCACGAACGACCTTTGCAGGCGCAGGCCAACTGGCAGGGCGAAGGTCGCTTCATCCTGAAGCGCATGGGCGACGACCCAAGCAGCAGGGCGTGGCTCTCGTCCATCAGGAGCACCGCCGGCCTTTCCACCGCCAAGTCAGCCACCGATCTCTCGGCTCAACATGTGGTAAGTAAACCATCTGTAACCCTTACTCAGGGCTAATCTGTTACCTCCTCTCAGGGTCGCAGCTGGGACGATCACGACAATTTCCTGGTCTGCGTTTACAACGTGTCGCCCGAAATCCCGTACGCCATCTTGAAAGTTCCCCTGGGCAGCTCGGCGCAGGACGTGTTAGCGCAGGCCCTTGTCAAGGCCAGGAGGTTGGAGGACCCTACCAAGTTTGTTCTGGTCGAGGAGCTCGAGTGGGCCGGCGGCGCCCAGCAAAGCCAACAACCGCAGAGGAGGAAACAGCAGAGGGTAAGAATCTGCAGCTCAGAACCTGATTATTTATTTCCATCATCAATTTTCAATGCGCATTAACTGAATTTTTTAAACGTTTACATTTTGTAAAACGAGAATTATTTTACGTTTCTTTTGAAATCTATTATGCAGTTATCACATCACAGTTATAATATTACAAAAAGTCTGAATGTATTTCTCTATGTGGTTAGAAGTTCTTCCAAAACACTTATGAAAAATTGCCTCTTGTCTCAGTAGTTTTTTGGACATTAATTATATTGATGGTTGGTTTCATTGATCCTCTTGAGAATTAGAGTAATAGAGTGACACCTTTTCTTCCCTAAACTAGAAAGCAGGTAAATAATCCAACCAGGGTCCAGTTATAGGAGTCACCGTTGATTGAAAAGTGTGAGAGATATACTGAAATAGAATTTTAAAGTTCTTGCAACGGAAGTGTTAAGAACTTCTGCGCCCCTCTAATAGACGCATTTTAAAATTTTTTTTACAAATCAAAAAATTTCTGCTTCAGATTTTGGCGGATGACGAAAACGTGTACGGCACTCAGGCCCACTGGCAAACTTTGGGTCGTTTTGTGCTGCGCGAGAGAGGAGAGGTGACCCCTCCGGCAGGTCGGCGCAGGACGACCCTGAACCTGCGGACGGCCACCCTGGAGAAGCTGAGCAAAGGGCTGAAGGGCCGCAGCGAGAAGACAGCCGTGCACGAGGTCCTCAGCTACCCCTCAAGCAGCAGAGGGGGCGGTTTTCGGTCGCGACTCGCCTCCACCATTGGGGGCGGCAGTGGAGGAGAGGCCAAGGCCTCCTCGGGACCGCAGCAGGTCTTCAAGGAGCGGACCAGGGAGGTGCACTCGGAAGGTGAGACCCTGAGCGACGAGGAGCGCGACGCCAGCGACATGAGGAACGCAGTGGCGCGCCTCAAAAAGGTCTCCCTCAAAAAGTTCAAAGTGTGGAAATGAAGAATAACCAGACGCAAAAATCAATAATAGAAAAAACAAGACTTTTTCTTTTACTTTCTTAATTGTTGTTGGTGACTTTTAGATATTATCACTCATTACGTTTTTTGTTGATTTCAATGGAGAGTGTTGAAGAGAAAAGCTTTAAAGTTACCATTTTTGATAAAAGATTGCGAGAACAATTTGATTGTTAATTGTTCATCCAATGGAAATGTATCAGAGCTTGCATTTTGTGAGAAAATGTTTGTCGTGCACATGTTATTTATTCTAAAACGTCAGGCTTCTCTACTTTAAAATTTTCACACACCGATATTTTTCTATTCTTGTGTGACCCCAGTTTAAGTTCCCTTGTTTCGTTTCAAGTACTTCCGGAAAAGTCTTGGGATTGAAAGAATTTAACACATACTTATTTCAAAAAAGATTTCTAGTCATGGACAATACTGTGATAAAATGTGTAACTCGGAAAGAAAGATCGATTCTTTACACACACCTTGCTCTATCATATTATATCATGTAATGGAGACGCACATCAATGTAAAGGAATTTAGCATAAATAATTGGTTGGAAAAGGGAAAAATATCTAAAATGAAAAATCGCACACCTCATCATGAGATGTTTGTTTGTTATTGTTGGAACCGGTTGGAACAAAGAAAAATGTCCGCCAAATTGGAATCATAAAAAATATTGCAGAGAAAGGGTTATATTTATATATATTATAGCAGCTCGAACATTATCAATATCTTTCTCTTTTACATACTAACAAATGGAAATAAAAGGAATTATCATTGTTGGTACACCTACTTAAAATCAAACTATTATAATTCAAAATAATGAATATTTAAATTAGGAAGAGAGTTGAATATACCATTAGCTATTCTAAGTGTTTTGTAATGTACAAATTTACATGAGAATTACGAAGCCAAAAGATTTTTAAATTCAAACCCGAAAGAAATTTTATTTGATTACAATACAAAAGCAGAAATTTTTATATATTATATTTCTGGAAAATTAAATACCGACTGCAACGATTTTTAAAAATAATAAATGCTATCAAATTGGGCACAAAAATTCAGTTCTATTTTCAAAGTTGACTAATATTTACAAGAATTACGAAAAGTTGGCAAATGATAAATAAATTTATGAATAATACTGTTTTGCCTGAATTATTTAAAAATGAGTTTGGAACAAAAAGAGAGCAGAAATGACCAATATAACCCCAGATTTTATACGAAAAACGACGTGCTTGATTTTGCGTTGCCAGCACACTTTTAATAATAACAATTATTGCGATATACATACATAATATATTATATGATACCCTTCCACTTATTACGTGTCCTCTTTAGAGGCAACTGTTAAAATATGGAACGTACTTGACGTTTTACAGAAAAGCCCTATCACATACATATAAAATTCAAGGCCTTGGCAATGAGATGCGCAAAAAGCGGTATATATATTATTTTTGTTGTGCAAAATAATTAAATTGTTGCTGTAATTGGGGCGTTGATTATATATTAAAAGTAATAATAAAAAGGAAAGTAAATTTGACTTGTAAGTGCGTGTCCTTCCTGCACACAAAACTCTCAAACTTAATTTCCCTGACATTTGAAAAAGCCTCTTATCAAAAATAATAACGCATCAGCTCTCGGCAAACTAAGTGAGCTCTTTCCATATCAGTGTGTCTCATCGTTGTGAATAAACTGTAAATAATTTTCCACTTTTATACATAATTATGCGATACATATTGTTGTGATTTCTGTAAGAGCCCTGGAATATATAATATAACAATTACAAGAGAGAGAAATGAAATAAATATATGTATACTTCCACTCTTTTGCCACTTCTGATTTGGACTAAATTTTGTGAAAGCGAAAATGTAATAGTTGTGACGCGCAAGTGTTCATTTGAGATTTTCTCTCGAGAAAGAAAACTGTTGAACGCCAAAGGTCTTGAACGCATTTCTCTGGACCTCGTTGTTGTAGTGATGATATTAATTATATTGCAATTGAACACAATTATTATTGTGCACATCAAAGCCCCTTTTACGAAAATTGTTATTTGACCACGAGACAGGCGTCTGTTGTATTGAAAAGAGAGAAAGCAGATTTTTGACAAGTCAAAACCAACTCGCTAATTAAAATTGTGAAAACGGAAAATGAGCGTCTCATTTCCAAAAATAAATCTCACTTTATAACTAGTTTTAAACCTGTGTTTGATTGATTGAAAATACGATTCATTTTAAAGATAAAAGTATATTTATTAAAAATTAAATTCTATAAAATTGATGAATTCCAATTACAATAATTATTAATTTTATCTTTATAATTTCTTTTTTTATAATTATTGCAATCTCAACAAGAGGAGTGAAGAGTGGGAACTGTGCTTAGATTTCCCATAGGGAAATGTTTTTTTTAAGGCCAGATAATCTTTCAGGAAAAAAATTTCAAATTTACAATTAGTAGATGCAGTGGCAAAAATTTGCAAAATCTAATCGATTCTAATTTCAAAAATATTATTTGGCCTTCTTTGAAATACACGATTTTTCCATAATTAATGTCCAAGATTTCACAATTACAATTTTTTTATACACAGTGCACAAATCAATTTAGCTACTCATAAACTGCAGTTAAAAGAATCAACCATCCATAATAATTATTGAGGAATAAAGAGAGGCTAAACTGATAATCAAATGAAAGAGCTCGAGATGCCATTATTTGTCTGCACCCATTTCATCAGACACAGCTCTTGATGTAAAACCATAATTCAATTATCACAGTTACAATTATAATAAACTAATAATTTCGCCGATAAAACGAACTTTGTGCCTATCATCATTAACAGTGTGTCTTTTCGAAAAAGGCCTGAGCATGCTTCTCACCAGATTTTGCGACTAGCTGACCAATTTTTAAAACTATATACTCCAAACAATACTGAAATTGTAAATAAAAATCAACAAGAAATATTTATAAATATGATAATCAGCACGATTTATACGCTTTGCTTTCAATTCAAAGCACCAAAATCTGCCTTTGCGAGACTTGGAGACTGGTGAGAAACGTTAGGTCAGCTTCAGACCTTCTTTTGATTCACTTTCTTAAAATCACCAACAGACCGAGAGGCCGAGGAAGAGCAGCGCACTTGAACAAAATTAGTCAAAGGTTGCCCACTGACCTTTGGGGTTCGGAGAGGCCGAGGCGATTTCCTCGAAGGGGCCCGAGCTGAGCCAGTTGTTGGCAGAGGCAAACTCAAGGCCGTACTCCTTCAACAAGTCCCGATCTGTCTGATTCAGCTGCGAAGTGGAAGAAGATTCCTGAGAATGGTGGGGTCCGCGGGAGGCAAACTGCTCGCTGGACAGCAGGTCAGCCGAATACGGCGTGGAAGATTTGGCGACAGGTCTTCGGCCGCTCGGCTTCAGGGGGTCAAAGTCGTCTTCGCTCGGGGTTGAGTCCAATTGGATTAGGTCTCCCGAGGGCTGGAAGTAATTTATAAAAAACTTCAAAATTTAAAAGTAAAGAAATGCTAAATTTATATAAAAAAGTTTATGCCAATTTTAACTTCACATACTGGTTAGTAAAGCTGTATTCTAGAATTTGCATTCAATAAGAAATTCATTCAAAACCTTAATTCCGAATTATGTTTTACCACAATCCACGTTTAATCCTGAAATATGATCCAGTTTGATGTAGTGAAAATTAAAACAAGGTAAAGATTTGTGGCAAAATTTAAAAATTAACAACGATGATTTTGTTAGAAAAGTGACAGTTAAAGCACACTAAAATTAAAACAGGTGAGAAAATCGTGTGCAAATAAACCAACCTGAAGCTGGTGTGGTCTGGGCAAGTTTTTTCGCGTCCTGGGAGGAGGGGAAATGACGGCTGGCAATTCGTGCGGGGGCGGGCAAGTGACAATGAACAGGCTGGTCGTCGGGTTCTCCACATCCTGGCCCAACACCATGAAGGGCGACTTGGGATTGAGGAAGGGGTTGTTGACCAGGGTGGTCGGGGTGGAAGGGGTGAGCGCCGGCGGGGCCGAGCGCTGCAGGGAGAGGGGCTGCGGGATAGCCAAGGACGATGGGTCCATGCTACGAACAGGCTTCAGCTGCGAAAGCAAACAAAAAATAGCCACTAGCACTAAGCACAACAAAAAATTACAAAATTTTGAAATTAAAAAAAAAAAGAAGTGATGCAAAAAAAACTAAGTGATTAAAAAAACATTGATGCATTTCCAAAGACTCACTGATCGATCGACAGTCGGTTTGGATTCTCCCCCCTCTATTTCCTTTTTGGCCTCCTCTCCCAACTTTTGGCAGTCTCTGAAGATTAGGTGTTGCAGGTCTCCGAGTAGGTCCATGTCGATGGGCGAGATCTGCAGAGGCTTTTCTGTCGGAGATGAGTCCGGACTAGCAAGGGCGGCCGATAGTGATCTTCCCCTTAAGTTTAAATATTTAGAAAAATTCACTCATAAGTAAAAAGAAAAACCTGTTGTCACTGGCTGGCTTCAAAAACCTATTTTGGTCTTTGTAGTAGGATTTGACTCCAGGGTCGGCAAGAGTCTTTGGTCTCCTGGGGGTGGCAGTGGGAGAAGCAGGTGCAGATCTGGGTTTTCCGTTGAAGGGGAGGCTGGTGGTGTCATGATGGTCATGGTGAAGTGAGTGAGGAGAGACGTGGCTGTCCCGAAACTTAGACCTGATGCCCTTGTAGGCCGTCCGACTGCGTTCCTTTACCTCCAACCCTCTTGCTTTGACCTTAATTAAAAAATTTGATTAGTTAAAAATTGGCTAAAAAAAATGGCTAATGTTTAATACTAAAAAAAATCAATTTATGAAAATAATCCTTACAGTTTTCACTGCTGACTTTACGGCCGGATTAGCCTGGAAAATTAAAATTTTAGTATAAATAATATAAATAAATCATTAAATTTTACCCTGTTTTTGACAGTCTTGAAAAAGGCGCTGCCCTCTTTTTTCATTGTGCTGGCCCATTCCTTGTATTGCTGCTTCAATTTGGAACTAGATTTCTCAGAATAGTTGCAGGCCTCCAACTCAAACTCATCGGAAAAACCCAGTCCTGCATTCAGCATGTCTAGCCTCTCCTCAATAAACTGAAATGCAATTCATCGTCAATGCTAATAAAAAAATTTTATTTTCCACAACCTGTTGGAAAATCTGAAGATGAAGCATTTTTCTCAGGAAAGGTTGAATGGAGGACGGACGAGATTCAACAAAGGCGTCCTCGTTGAAGGTGATCTTCTCGCCCTGATAAAATCGAAGGGCGTCTCTGTAGCCTCCAATGAGCTGCACCAGGGCTTGCAGGAAGGCCCGACTGACACCATCACCCAAAAGAGTGGCTCGGTTTCGCAGTTTTCTTTTCAGAGTTGAAACCTTGTGAGAAAAAAAAGTAAATTTACTTCATTATAAATAGTAAGTGCTGAAATTTAGTATTTTAGTAAACAGAAATTGTTATTTTTCAACCAACCATCCTTTGTCATTCAATTAAAAAAAATTAACTCCCATCACTAAATTTACCTACCACTTCAAAGGGCAAACTTTCCAAATCTTCGTACGGAGATTCAACAGTGTTGGCATCAGCATTCAAAATAACAACATCGCCCAAGTCTGATCTAGGTACCCTCTTTGAAAGAGATATTAAATCGGTTTAAAAGATTATTTAATTTTGGTGGTACCTGCAGAACGGGTGTAGGGACTCCAATGAGAAAGGGCATGGGTGCCAAGAGATAGTCCATCAGAGACATCGGAAGCACAGGAATGAAAATGTGCTGCCAGTTCATAGGGTAGAGGACTGCGTTAGCCGCTTGCACACACGCACTCAGCCGAGACAAGCGTTTCGAAGTGAAAATTATTCTCCGTTCATAGAGCATTGATGCAAAAATGACCATCATGTTGTTGGCGTCAACAGCGCTGTAATATTCCGTTAAGTTCCTCTGAAACTCTCAATTAGAACAGCAAGCTCTGATTTTATTTCAACTTACATTGTCAGGGATGCTCGGAAGTTTGAACTGGTTAGGACACTGACAAGTAAATGACTGAAAATGAAATTTTGAAATTATTTCAATAACTTGAAAAAAAAGGCAAAAAAATCAAAAACTTTCAGTAAATCAAATTAAGTAGTTTCCAACAGATCTTTCAAACCAATTCAAACTTTATACATTAATTCAAAACACTAGAATTCAATTAAAATTTAAAAAGTTTCACGTGTTCTAAGATGGTAAATTATAAGCCCCCTTTATGATTTTTTTTCCTTCTTTTTTTTACTAAATAAATTAGATCAATACAAGACTTGATCTTGATTATTGTTTGATTTAAAAATCTTGAAGGTTTTCAGGTCTTTTAATATATTTTTCGTTTCAAACCTTTGAACCCTGGTTGAAGGAAACATGAAGGGTGCTGCCAGGGTCAGGGGCAGGCAGTTCGTAGACCGCTTCAAGGAAACTCCAAAGTTCAGAGTCATTTGGACTGTCCGTCAAATCGGCTATTGTGTTGAGGAACCTGTGGTGAATAACATGTTTGTTTAAAAAAGCTTTGGAGATAAAATCCAGCATTACTTTTGAAACGCTTCGTGCCACGGCAGGTAACTGAGAACAACAAGAGCAGTTTCGGACCTTGTACCATGACGGACAAAGCCAAAGGTCCACTTGCTGTCTATGTCCGTCAGGACAAAATTGAAATGTTGGACGCTTGTGCTGCAACGGAATCAAAATTAAATTAATTTTGCCTTAACAAAATGTTAAATAAATTTTTACCTTTCGAATTCGCAGGGAAATGCAAATTTGGGCACAGACTTCAAGACCTCTTCGTCCTTGTAAGACTCGGGGAATTTCTGGACGATCCAAGCCTCTTTTTCAGGCTGCGGTTTTGCAATTTCGCAGAAGCACTCAAAAAAGTGTCTGACGTCTTCTCTGTGGAGCGAAAAAAATAATGAATGCATGCACTGGTTTAAAACCAATATAATCTTTAGTTGTGGAACTTGATAGGGGCGTATTATGTGACACAATAAAAAAGTGAATAAGCATTTCCCTTTTCCCCATGATACAAATTTAATTATAAAAGCAGGACGTTCTATGATTCACAATTAACAACAGAAATAACAGAATTATTTTAAATATGGTATTGAGAAGATCGCAGACTAAAAAATTTAAATTTTAAAATTAGGACAAATTATTGTGGAAATTAATTGCGAAAAATCCATTTAATTTATGTATTATTATATTTAGTGTAAAATTTTTGGACGAACTCTATTTTTGGTCTCGCAATTAAAGGCCCTAGGGGGTTCTGCTTTTGAAGCCGACCTCCTGCAACGCTAGCTAATACGGTCAAGGCAGCTTCAGTATGGAGTTAAGTTGCATTATTATCCTCTAATCAACGTACATATACAAGAGTGACTTGTTTGCAATTACCTAATCCTGGATCCCATATTAATTGTCGTCGCAGCGTCGGCCGAGGCTTAATTATCGCCGAAATGTGACTGGGCCGAGCTGATGACGAGCCGGGCCAAGTGACATCGTCGAAACGTCAATCGCGAATTGGGGTTGATGACTCTTTCAATCTCTTCTGATGAGAGAAATTTCGCCAGCCTCTCCCTCCTCGGCTCGGCCACCACAACATCAAACATGACAAACATCAAAGGCTCCGCAGATGGCTCTCGCGACGAAACACCTCCAGCTGCGCGAATCATTTCAAAAAAGACCGCGAAAGTCACGTTTTCATGGTAATATTCATTTAAATTTATTCTCCAAACAGATAAATTTTTTTAATTTTTTCCAGATGGAATATCTCATAATTGAAAAAGAAAATATCAAATTTCAAAAGAGTTGCACTTCTGCATCCCGATATCTAAATAATTAAAAAAAATTGGCTAAAAAAAATTGATAGAGTATTATTTTGATAGGAAATATATATATATTTTTTTTTATACAGTTAAACAAAATATTAACATGTGTATATTTTGTAAAGAAAAATATTTATTTTTTATTCATTTATTTATTCGTCTAAAATGAAAAACGTTTTCTGAAAGACGAGTAAGCCACTTTGGCAGTTTTTATATACCTCACAAAAATACGGAAATTAAGGGTCAGTTACAGAAAAAGGCCTGCCCTCAACAGTTTTTTGGCAGTTAGCATAAGAAGAAGTGTGTTGATGGGCTGGAGCACAATACATGCAAAGCATCCCTTGTTCCGCGCTTTTTTTAATCCTCCCACTTGCCAGCCACTTGCCTTTTCTAAAATATTCAATAAATTCACCGGTGTGAGGCAATATAACGTATAAGTATGAAATTCTGATAATTTTATTCGCTTTTAATTATTTAAACCAAAAACGTGTTATGTAATAAATTTTTTCATACTTTTTTATAATCAAAAATAATTATTGTTGATTTAGTTTAACAGGATTAGCGTGAATTAAATTGATAAATAGCTCAATACTGATACGGAAATTTTGTTGATAGCCTTGAGGGGTGGATTAAATTGATGGCGTCATGATGAGATGAGCGATGAGCCAATAATTAATCATCTAAACCAACATGCTTATAAAATGCTCAAAATTTGACACCAGCGTCGCAGTTTAAAAACGAAGTTATACCTAAGCGGTTGCGTCCGTTGCGTGAGTGCAATTGAACGTTCAAAAATATTTTGCATATCAGTTTAAATTTTAATTAATTTCCGGTCATAAAAATATGAAAATGCTGTTGTGGATTGTTGTAAGCATTTCTGCTTCGCTTGCCGAGGCGCAAGTAATTTCTCCAGGAGGGTGTCCTCCTCTTCAGGTGGTGCAGCAATTCGATTTAGGCGCCGTAAGCTATCAAATGGTTTATGTATATAGAATTTAATATTAAAATCAATTATCTTTGTTTTTCAGTACTTGGGAAGGTGGTACGAGTTCAAAAAGTTCTACGCGATTTTCCAGGAAAATGGCGAATGCGCCACTGCGACGTACAAGGAAAATTTGAATGGAACTATTAGCGTCAAAAATTACCTCATCGATGGAAAGTACGTTATTAACTATTATCTTGAACCTTAAAAAATGATAACAACAAAATATTGTGTGAATTATTTCTAGAACTGGGCTGTCGGAGATTATTTATGGCCACGCCACAGTTGATAGCACCACTGGTGAAGGAAAGCTGCGGGTGAACTTCCCTTCAGCGGGTATGAAACTGTTTAAGTAAATTATTTACTTAAAATAAGGTCACCCAAATTTTGTATAAGATCAGAGATCGAGGAATGAAAATTTTTCACATTAACTAGATTTTTATAATAATGATATTTTAATAATTATAATCAAATATCATATTTACAGGAGCATTTGACGGGGCATACTGGGTCATTGGAACGGATTACGTGAATTACGCAGTCGTCTGGTCATGCACAGAATCTGGAAACGTTAACATTCGTGAGTAAAATATATTAATAAAAAAATAGATAAACTCTTAATATGAAACCCATTTTTTAGAATTTTCTTGGGTTCTCACTCGGCAAAGATTCCCGAGCCTAGAAACTCTCGCGTTGGCGGAGCAAGTCATTGAAGCCAATAACCTGCAGAAAGATAAATATGTAATTACCAATCAGCATAACTGTCTGGTTTGCAGGAACAGGAAGTAAAGAATTATGAAGTTTGGTGGATTTTGAATTATTAAAAATAAAAAAATCTCCTATTTTAGAAACCACCTTACTGTGAACTTTTATTATCAAATGAATCCTTGTATTATGTAACAAAGTAGCCTTTAATACTGGATTATATAGTTTAATTTTGACTTTTTAGAGGTAAAGTCAACGCACAGCAATGGTCTTGTGCTTTTCCCGCACAAATTCAAACGTTGCCATTGCAAATCGGCAGCTGTTCCAATTATTTATTTCCTCACACAAGAGAAAAATATGGCTGACCGTGAATTATTTGTGTGTACTGGTTCGTGGTGTTTTAATTAGAAAGTGCGGCACCCCAGGGTCGCCGCTCGACTTGGACGAGGCGGCAGACAGTTTGCGGAAGGGTGACCACATCAAAGGTCGCGCGCCGTCCGCTTCGCCGTCGGACGAGGAGATCACTTTTGTAAGTAGGGCTCCCGACCTTTTTTTGCACTTTTACGGTTTTGCACGCTTATATTGACGTCGAGGACCTTCGTCGGTGTCAAACCTAATAAAAAATAATCAGCTTAAAAAAATTTCACGGCCGGAACTTTGCAAATTCGAGTGTGTTTATTTTGTTTGCGACGAAAATCGCTTGACACAGTTTCGCCAAATTTTTATCATTGACTAATTTCGAACGATTTCGCAGTTCTCTGAGGATGGAGTGTCCCTGATCGGGTCAACGACGAGACGAAATGCCCATCGAAGTGCAGCCGGAGGCGGCGGGCAACCGGACGGGGCCGCCCCTGGGCCCTGCGGCCGGCGCAAACATCCGCACCGTCAGGAACATAAACAACAACAACAACAATCAGAACCCGCTGTTCAACATGAGGGACCGACTGTTCCACGCCCTGTTCTTCAAGGCCGCCCTGGCCTACGCCAGGACCTTTCCCAGGCCCGTCAGAAGACTCATCGAGTTCCTGTTTCTCATCAAAGTCAGTTCGAATATAAACATCACAGAAAAAAAAACAATGTGATAATTACAAAACTTTCTGTTTGTCTTTTTCTCTCCAGGCCCTGCTTGCCTTTTTTGTGCTGGCGTACATCCACATAGTTTTCTCCCGAAGCCCTTCGAACTGCCTCGCCCACATCCAAAATGACTGGCCCCGAGATGGAATTCTGCGGGTGGAAATCAAACGGCCAGGGTCCCAGTCTGGCTTCGCCTTGCAGGACGTGCCAGACGGAGTCGAAATTTCCACAGTCACTCCACTTGCTTCCTCATCAACTCCATTCCAATCCGAGAGCTTTCATAAAGAGGCTGTCGAAGACTCGTGGTCAATTATGAGACTGCTCTCGCCCGATGAGTATGGTTTTAGTTGAAAATTAAATTTGATCATTACTAATTGGTCCTTTAGCAAAATTGAGCCCTCCATTGTTGAGGATGTGAACGAAACGCCTCCACCTGACGGCAGCCCATCGAGATTTGAGGAAAACCTCACCGAGTCAAAAAGTTTAGACACAGATGAACTTTTGCCATCTAAACCAAGTGTAATCGAGGAACTGAGACTTTTCAAGAAAGAGGAGAACATACTCACAAGTAAGTCCTTGAAAAAGCATTAGTTTTAAAAGTAGTTTCTAGGTGAACAAACAAAAAAATGAGACAAACATTAATAAATACTTATTGAAAATTTCGTAACTAAGAAAAGTTTTTCTCCCTCTATATTTTTCTGGAATTCCTGGATGTTGGTTTTTTTGTGTCTTCATCAAACTTTTTAAGATCAAGTTTAGATTTTTAAAAGTTCTAAATAATTGTGCTAAATTAGCTAAATATAATATTAAAATATTGCCTTGTTTAAAGAATAATTTTGTTCAAGATCGTAAACACGTGGGAAATAAACAAATAGTAAAAAAAGACTAATAAAAATAGAATAACTCTTGTTATTATTTTTTTTCTGAAATTTAAATAAGTGTATAATTTTACAGTATTTTTCATACTGTTAGCCACTTGATTTATTGGGTGTTATTGGGTAAATTAATTTTAAAATTTCAACTTTGGTGATTTCTTCAATGGAAAAAGCTTGGCAAGAAATATCAAAATTTGTAAATAATCTTAGAAAAAAATTTAATTTTGAAAGTTATAACAAATCTGATACTTTTTTTCTTACTTACAGAGCATCCTGAAAATGTACCTGAACCTAAAAACTCCCCCAATGAGAAAACAGTGAGTTTGATTATTGCTTTCACGAATTGGATGTTTACATATTTATTTTATTTCAACTTTAGGAAACGCATGATGAAACTGACCTCAAGCTGGAAAGCAGCGTCCTAGAACAGGTAGTTATTTTGTTAGTAACAAAATAAATTAATGTGACTGTGGTTGTCCTGAAGGATGTAGATTTAACTACTTCTGTGCCAAGTGTGAATGAAAGCTTGGCTGTAGATCTTCCGAACGGAGATATGGAAATCAGTATGGTTGCTCCGTTGGTGGAGCCCTCGTCAGAGGTTGAAAAGCTCGTCAGGGCAGGTCAGTTCTATGCCAGCACAAGTATAACGTTTTAAAAGAGAATTCCTTTTTTAGTTTGGCCGGAGGATGAATACGTGGTAGAATACGCTTTGGAGTATGGATTTCTGAGGCTTTCTTCGGCCATTCGGCAAAAGCTTGGCATTCCCGTCAAGGTGGTCACTTTGGACACCACCAAGGACCCGTGCTTCGGAGACGCCTTTAGTCGTTTTCTGCTGGACCAATTCTTAGGGTACGACGAGATGCTGATGTCTAGCATCAAGATGGTTGCTGAGCAGGAAGACAACAAGGGTTTTCTCAGGTTTGTCCCGTTTCCTGTAATAATGGATAATTAACAATTAATCAATTTGTCAACTTTGAGAAATCATAAGAAGTATTGGGAAAACATATGCTGTAATTCTTTGTAGATTTGAAATGGATAATTTAAAAAATAATTTTTAAAAATTTCTAATTTTTCCAAATTACTTTCAATGCTTGAAATTAAAAATTTTTTTATTGTGTATTGTGATAAAAAAATGTGCAGTAAATTTTCAGGAGATACAATTCAAATCTAAACAAAATATTAGCTCTTGAATTGGTTGAACAAATACGCCTCCAGAGGCACATTTCAATTAATATGTAATCTAATAACTCATTATGGTCATGAAAAGTAAACATTCATTTGGAATTGTAATCTATATCACAACAAATTGTGCTGTTTTGCAGAAATGTTGTCACAGGAGAGCACTATCGATTCGTTTCAATGTGGATGGCAAGGACGTCATATGTGGCTGCGTTTCTTGTCATGATGGTCTTTGTGAGTATTGATTTCAACCATTTTTTACCTGTTACAAACTCTTGCATTTCACAATTGCGTTCAAGAAGCCTCAATTTAATTTTGTTATTCATAGAAATTTATATTATATTGATTTTCTACGCTCACTGCAGCTGAAAACTTCATTTTTACTAACGTTATTTTTATAGCTTTTATCGTTTTTATTATTTTTAGCCAAGTATTGGAGGCGTCTTTTTATCCAGAAATTTTGTTTTCATTTTCAAAAATCAAGAATACATTTGGACGGATCCATAATAACAATACTATTTTACATCAACAGCATAAAAAAATAAGAATAGTTGCAAATGATATTTATTGATATATGAGAATAAATGAACCCACTAAAACTAAAAGGAAAAAGAAACAAAATGAATTAATCTTGCATTGTTGTTTTCTTTGTCTTTTACTTTTCCATCTGATGAACTATTCTGTAATTATTTGTAATAAATTAATAGGCAAAATTATTGACAAATTTAATTAAAACAATAGTTTAAAAAAGACGTCTTCTGCACAAAAATTCCTCTGCTTTTGTTCAGTTGGAAAAAATAAGTGAAAAGAAAACTGTCTTTTCAATATATTAATTGGCTTACCTAAAATGTTCCTAATTAATTCATTCTAATTGCTTACTGCTCTTTTGCCTATTTTTTGAATGAAAAATTTGAGATTATTTGATGGGGCGTTTAAAGATTCACGCTGAGTTGGCTGCCACCGTTTTATTATTTAGAGCTCCAGGGGAAGTATTAATTTTGCAGGAATTCCCTGGCATGCCCGATTTGGAAATAGGACCGAGAGCCAGCGCGTCAAGTTTCATGTATTAGCCCTGTGTCCATCTCATCCCAATGGAGAATTAGAGGTTTTGCTTGATTTATGCGCGCGCTGGCGACTCCAGTATCAAATTAACACGGCTCGGTGTCGAGTGAGCGAATTGATTAGCATCTCTCCTAGCAAAAGGGCTCAGAAATTCAAATGCGCTTCTTGAGCAAAGTTGAAATTTTTTAATCAGAGTAAAATTGTTTCAAACCTTGATTTTTTTTTTTAATCTTGAAAAATCATAAGAAGTGAACTAAGTGAAGAAACAGACGATTTTGCTGGGATTCTTTTATAGATTTAGATTAGTTTGAAATTTTAAAAAAAAAATATATATTTTTCTTCCAAATTGTTTTCAATGCTTGAAACTGTATATTTTGATAAAATATGATAAAAGATGGACATTTTTAGAAAAATTTAAATTGAATTAAAATAAACATTTGCGCTTAAAGTGGTTAGTGTGGTATTAAATTAAAATTTAAGATTTATCAAATATTTTTCACAGAAAAGAGCTTGGAGATTGACATGATTACAAATTGCTTGATGAGAAGCAACAATTCACAATCTTCTCTAAATAATTTTTGGGTATAATCAGAAGCTAAAGTGGAATCAGTTGGGGTTATGATATCCCGTAATTGGCAACACCCACACAAGCGGCGGCTGATTCAAAGGGGCGCCACACGTGCCGGCAATCGGATCGCGCGTCCTTTGACCAGAAAAAACTTGCCGCTATTTTCACCGTTTGCTCTTGAAAGTGCATTGAATCATGTCTGAATGTCACTTGATTATAACGAGCCCTAATTACAGGGGGCGCGCGGTAATCACCATTCATATAACTCACTCGGTTTGTGTGCAAATAGCCCTCTATCATTACGTCTCATCACGTATGCGCTTGTTTTGCACCCACCCCCTCTCTTTTCAAACTTCTGAACCCCCGCGGGTCAATTCGAAGAGGGACCTCTACTTTTCCCTTTGCGGAAAAATTAATCGCCACTTGTTTCTGTTGCAGACGGTGACCGTTTCCATGTTGCTCAGGTACTCGCACCACCAGATATTTGTCTTTATAGGTGAGTAAATTTTTCTTACAATCAAGAATCAAAAGTGAAACAATTTTTTTGTTTAATGTTGCTTTTTACGCTGAAATCGAACTAAAATTTATCAGTTCTTCATATTTATCAACAATAATTTGATGGAATTATTTTATTTCCTTTATGTTTTTTCATGAAAAAATATTTTTTTCTCTTACATTTTGCAAACCCTTTTTAGGTGGATAAAATCTTTCATTAAAAATTCCTTCGAACTGATCATAGATTTGGTTGTTAAAAATTAATAATAAATTGACAATTGTGGTTACAGAGCAAATTTTTGTAAAACTAACCAACACATTTGTAAAAGATTTAATAACTATTATCGATATACACTATTTGATACACCGGCACAAAAACATCCAAAAATCCTTTCAGCAGAACAGGTTATGGGAAGTTTATATTTCCTGACAAATCAAATTACGCAACCGGGTTGTCGTAACGGACACGAGTGTTGCATAACTCGGCGAACAAAGGCGTCGCGGGCGGAAATTTCTCGTTTGCCAGGCATGTTGGCGCGGAGGCAACACAATCGCAATTATTATTCCGGCGCAACAAAAGTGTCACGATCGCGGCGTCATAAATCAATTGGACGAACGTAAGCCGGTGTTAGCGTTGATTCGGGAGGACTTTTCGTGTGTATGATGCAGACAGACTCGAGAGAGAAGAAGAGCTAGGATTTCGTTCTTGTCACAAATAATTTGAGGCTCACTTCATTACGAAGAAGGAGGGAAGGGCAGGTGAATTGGATCCCTCGGGCAAGAATTTATTCGTCGGCGCGTAGTGTTATTGCGGTCTGCGAAGGAATTTGAGTTAATATGTCCGGATATTTGTCCTGTGCTCTGTTGCCATGATACACATTTGAAAGCTCCCATCTGCCGGCGCGCGAGCATCCATGGCAACGGCCAGATGGGGCTTTGCTTCAAAAGCTGCTAAACATTTCAATTGCGAGCTTGTTATCAGCGAAAGAGAGAGAGAGAGAGAGAGAGAGAGAGAGAACGAGGGCTGCCTTCCTCCCAGCTTTGCACTTTTCGACTCCAATAATGTAGTGCGTGGGCTCGCTGCCATTGCCGGGCCCGATTTTCGCCCCTGATTTTTCCTCTTTGCCCTTTTTTTCGCCGCCGCACTTGAAAGCAAGCGCTTTGATCTGAGTGTCGCGGCTCAAAAGTTTTGCTCTGCAATTTTATCCCCGTGAGGCTTTAATTGGAAAATCGGCTCATTCGGCTCTGTTTAATTAAGTTGTTGCTGTCAAGTGTCAAGTTTTTTCACTGACAAATTTCAAATAATTATAAGTACAGTGGGGAAATGCTGCGAATCAATTTTACATTGTTTCTTAAAGCCCATCGTGGGGAATAATTTGTCAAAAATAAACAGATTTGTGAAAAATGTAATAAATTTAAACCATATTTTGTTGATTTGTAACTAAAATTTTGACCTAAAATCTGAAATGGGAGCCAAATATTAATGTGGTTGATTTTTAATGCCCTAATTTTACATGAAATTTAATTAATTTATTAAACAAAAATGCCTTCTTTATCACTTGATTTCAGTTGTTTTGCTGTCACCAATTTAACATTATTTGGTTAAATAAATTCAAATAATGTTACTGAAGAGTACAGCGGCATTCCTTTCTATAAAATTAGTGTCACAAAATTTACACACCAAAAACTGTATTTTATAGTTAAAGCGTTTTAGTTAATCCAGATTATTTAGCTAATTATTTAATTCATGGAATAAAATAATTTTAATTAAACTTCTAAAGCCTGATAATATATGATTGTGAAAAACAAGATTGTTTGGTTTTAGTTTTTCAATTTCCCTCCTAATTCAAAAAGAATTTTTCACTTCACGTGGCTCTGAAATGTACACTTTCCAGTTAAACATATATTAATTATTATGATATCCGAACATAAAAACACAAAAAAATTGTCCTTTGGAATGGATTTGCCTCCGGGATTATTGAAGGAACTTTTATTTCAATTCTATTGCTGTATGCTAATTTAACTTTGGTCTCCCAACAGAATTGGAAATAATCGATTTGCGCTCTTTTGTTCGCAGTGGACCTTTTGCAAATGCTGGAGTTCAACGTGACCATCGCGTTTCCTGCGGCGCCCCTGCTGACCGTCATCCTCGCCCTCGTCGGTGAGTAAATTTTTTTCACTATACACCTGCAAAAAAAAAACACCGAGGGCAAAATTTATATATACACGGTGGGTGAAATTGCGATCGGTCAAGTCTGGTGCGTTGTCGGGAAATATATTGAGTTTGCCAGGCAACCCTGAGCAAAGCAAGCAAGCAAAAATGAGTATGTGATGGTGGCAGTGGACTGGCAAATGTTGCTCAGGTCCCTCGCGAGTAGATGAGAAGCAAGCAATCTGCGGAGCAAAGCAATCAGAGCAGGGAAACAGAGCATGCAGGGGACCAAAGTAAGTAAACTCGAGATTGCTTCTTTTCGGCGCCGAAACTTTGATCGTCATCACGATTGCATGCACAACCCGCCAACTTTTACTTTTCAGACATTCCCTCTATTTTAAGGGTTTCCAATCAAACTCCGGCAGCGGACATTTTTCCTGCTCTCGATTTTTTTATTCCTCTCTTCGCCAGGCATCTTTTTATTTGCCAGTTTTTCTTTTCGCAATTGATTGGTTTTCCCTGCGTCCTGGAAAGCAGAGAGCTCGTTCAAAGAGGGCTAGGCGTGCAGACGAGGGTTTTCTTTGCATCGGTGCCGTCAAAAGGCTCTTGCCGCCGCAAAAAGTCTTCTGGACTGCTGACTTCCTTTTTGAGGGCCACTTGCACACCTTCAAAAATAGACTACAGAGTTGGACTTGCAATCAGTCCACGCGGGTTTTTAGTCAAATTTGGTGAGGATTTCTCTTTTTTGAAACATAAACGTTTTGCATTATTTCAACTCGAACCACATACATTTTTTTTTAATTATAAAATTTTGAATGTAATATAAATTTGCCAAAATTTATTAAAAATCCTCATTTTCTGGATATTAATATGATCCTCATGGTCTAAACCTTTTGTTTTTGTGACGGATTTTCTTTTCCCAAGGTGGATACATTCTTAAAATAAAAAAAAAAATAGATTAGCTTTTCCAACAAAAATAATTCTAAACTTATAAAAAAAAAACTGGAAAAAAAGTGACCCACAATTTAATATTGCTTATGTTTGATTGGATGATTCTTGAGACTCTGTTAAGGATTAAGAAAATCTCGTCTGGAAAAGATGAGCTGTCACCGCCGCATTATTAAATTTATCTCTCGCATCGTGATTCATTGGCCAAAGTGGCGTCCGGCTGTCCAATTAACGGTTTCGGGTGGCGACGGCTGGCTGAAAGTGAGCGGTCGCACGCGGGGGTTAATTACGGCTGATGCACGCGCAGTCCAGGGCTCGGATTTCGGCGCCACTCAACTGCACTTCTGTGAAATATTCCGCGGCCTAATCCGATTACCGGACATTGTGTTGCCCGCCGCGTACGAAAGGTGAAAAAGGCCAGCACAATGGGTGACAAGCGTGAATGTGACCCGCACCCATTAACCCTCCGGATAGCTTTACACAGCACCACAGTGTATTAAGGCTGACACGGCTCGCAAAGAAAGAAGGAGCTGCAAACTGAAACTAATGCGAGCCGCCGGGATCAGGTGTTTCTGCCGAGAAAAGCCGCTCCGCCGATTCTTCTTTAACCTCAATCGAAAGGAGGCTTTAGAAGATTGCAAGCTTATCCATGACTAACATTAATCAATAAAAGTAATAAAATTTATTAAAGCAGCAATGATTGTTCTCATAATATAAAGTTTTAATTATATTTGATAAATTTAATATATTTTCTGCTTGCCAAATCTTGGGTTCTACTTTTTCCATATATCATAATATATTTCTCACTGTTATTGTTTTTATATCCCTGAATAATATGAAAGTCGACAGGTTATATCGATAACGTTGAAATTTCCTCAAAGGTCAAATTAGTTTGTGGGAAAAGAAGGAGAATCGTCCATGAACATCTGGTTCAAAGTTCAAATTTTTATTACATCTCTAAATAATGTAAAACGGAACAATTGAAAAAGTCGATTTTCTGTCAAGGTTCTCAAATTTTTTGAATGGTGATCTATACATGTACACATATTTTTGTTAATAAGTGTTAATACTAAAAAATAGCGCAGAAGGAAAATGCAATCTATTATAAAATATTTATTGAAAATACGCATTTTATTTTCGAAAAAATAAAACTTTATTTCATATCACCTTAGAAGGAACGTATCTTTGTCTTTTGGGGGGAAATCAGCGCTTTGTTTCCATAACCGTGTTATTTTGTTTTGGGACTTGGGACGAGCCGCCGGAAAGGGATCGCGGCGTGGGCGCGTCGGCAGAGCGAGAAGAAGGAAAGAAAGGAACTGTCAGAACCCCCGTGTCGCACGGGAGAGCAAATGACAGTGAAACTCAATCGCAGCTCTCGAGTTTTCAATTCCAGATGGAAAATCTGCAGCTTGGTTTTGATGTCTCTCTTTTCCACTTTGTTTGTGCCGTTCGTTCGCAGTTGGATAAAATGTCGCTGGCAAATTAGGCGGGCGGCGGAATTTTCTGCTTCTGATTCTCAGCTTTCGACTTGTTTGTCGTAATCTTTGATGCGCGCCGAGGGATTTGATTTCCCTGCTGCGTGCAAACCTCTCCCATTATCGATTCGCAGCTCGTTATGAATTAAGACGAGCTTTTCAGTCAGGAATCATTTGCTCACTGAGAGTCGCACTTCAAATTCCGATTCCTCTCCATTTTTAAAATTTAATAATAAAAAAAAAAAATAGTCCTTTAAAAGAGTGTTATAATTTAGATCATTATTTCTTACTTATGTTTACTGAAAAGCTCAAGTTGTAAATTTTAATATTTTTCATAGGTTTTTTCCAGAGTTACTAAAAATCAATCTTAAAATTTCCAAATTTTATTTTTTGCGATAAATTTTGACAATGCTTTGTGTATGTTGAAGGTATGGAGGCGATCATGTCCGAGTTCTTCAGCGACACAACGACCGCGTTCTACGTGATTCTGATCGTGTGGATGGCGGACCAGTATGACGCGATCTGCTGCCACACGCCGGTCACCAAACGCTACTGGCTCAGGTGAGAGGCTGAAAGGGCGTGGCCGGGGTCGCCGGCCCTGGCGACTGACAGACACGTGACACCAGCACGTGCACCTGTCACCTCCATGCATGTACATTCATTCCGGCAGATGCACACCCCTGACACATTACAATTTTTTATTTTTATTTGCATGCGAAATCAGTTGCTTTGTTATTCCAACTGCACAATTTGACGTTGGTTGTCAGGGCTGATTCAATGGATATGAATCTATTTTTTTGAATGGTCAACCTGAATTTAAAGCAGAAAGTGACCTTTGTCTTAAATTATTTAAGTTGAGGTGATCCAAATAATTATTATCAAAATAAGTTGGGTTGTAATTTTGTTTAATCTGAGTAATTTTTTATTTTTTTAATAAATTTTTTGGTTAATTTAAAGAGTCTCAAAACTCTCTTAGATTTTAAAAATCAAACATATTTTGAATATTTTAAAACATTTTTTTTTATAATTTAATATATTGCTAATGTTTCAATTAAAATTTCCGGAGTTGAAAACTTCCAAAGTTTCTCGGAACCGCAGATGTAATTTTTAGTTCTGATCTTATGTCTTAACTTTTAAGCGCAAATAGCTCTGTAAATTTTTATAGGAAAGAAAAAAAATTGTTGAATTTTTACAAAAAATTCAACGATCGGGATTTAAAATTATGGATTTTTTAATATTCATAATGATAACTTGGTTATTAGAAAGTTTTTTTAATTAATGAAAAATAGTTATTCTATTTATTCGTACTGATTTGTTTCTTAAATTGCATACTTTGGAACTACATAGAAACCCAGAAACTTATTATTATGCAATGAATGTTTTTTTGTCCGCAGATTTTTCTATCTGTACCACTTTTCGTTCTACGCCTACCACTACCGGTTCAATGCTCAGTACAGCGGCCTCGCGCTCGTCACCTCCTGGCTCTTCATTCAGGTGAGTTAATTTTCTTTTTTGACCACGGAAACAATTCTGTCTGAGATTAACAACAATCTGCAGCAAAAACTCGTTCTCGTTGAATTCGCGCGCGATGAAAAAGATACTGTCGTCGTCGCTTTGCACCTTATTAAATTTTGTTATTACAAAGTTTTAATGACACAAGTACATAAAGTGGCGGTCGGCAGGCGCTAGTTCCTACTTAGTTATTACACTTTTTATGAAAATCAATACCGCCCCGTCGGTGTGAGGGAGAAAGAGAGCGCCGCTGTTGACATGCAATCTCGCCTGCATCGGTTCGCATCAGACGCCTACTTACTCCGGTGCACCTTTTTTTATATATTCGAGGACGTGTCTTTTGCACGACGGCTGACAACGAAATACCCTTTGCAAATATTTGCACCGCTAAAATTGTGTTAAAACAGCACTACACTTTCAGCAAAGGGAATTTTCAAACACACAATTTCGTTTCAAAACACGCACGCCAGCATTCAAACCGCGTGTTTACTTTTACTCTGCATTTTAAAAATTCAGGATTCGCTGTAAAATCTGGATCAAATTTAAGGAGATTTGAAGATGTATGAAGATGAAATTTAACTAATTTTGTGATAAAAACTTGAAATTCTTTGTACTTTGAAGAAGTTTTAAAAAGCAGTGAATATTAATATCCTAAATAAGATAATTAAAGAGTTTGAAAAGTTTCGTCTCTGGGGGATTCAATCTTGGTACAGATATATAGACCAGATTTTGCGAGCCCTTTAAAATGATATCTCAATTATGGCACTTCTACGGTACTCCGTCTGGAAACAAAAGCCAAAAAACGATTAGGGCCTGACCAAAAATATTTTGGTTTTTTACTAGATTTTCAAGACAAATCATAATTAATTACTTAATTGTATTTTCAAATTTGAAAGAGACCAATTTTATGATCACGTGATTACCTTGATCTGTCTCCTGAGACGGAATCTCAGTTTAATATGCGAATAAATTTTGTGTTGGCAGCACTCGATGGTGTACTTTTTCCACCACTACGAGCTGCCGCTGATTCTGCAGCAGGCGCAACTGCAGCACATTTTGCTGAGGAACGCGGGCAACCTGGGCGGGGGCGAGGCGCCCCACCCGCCTCCGAGGCCCACCGAGCCTGACACGGAAGAGGAGGACGATGAAGACGACGACGTCGAGGAGCCGAGCAACACCGAGGACAGCGTCAGCACCGTCGAGGACATCAACCAGCCTGCCAGGACTGACGAGTGAAAAGTGGAAAACTGGTTTTGTGCGAAGGACGCAACGGTGTTTGTTGTTTTGTAAATAATTAATTCTTGATTTGTTGATGCTTAAAGAAGGAAAAATATACTTATCAGCGAGAGAGAAGAAAGAAAAAGGGGCCTCGCACTTCCTAGTGCGTCCGTCTTTAGTCAGAAAATTGTCCAATCGTTTCGCTTTCAGGGGAGCAGACCTGCTTTCTTTTCAGAAAAAAGACTTGGTGCAATAGTAAAATTTTATTTTTTGACATGATTTGCAATAGCTATTTCAAACAGTAACCAAAACTTTTACTTAATTTAGAATTAAGACTTAAGAAACAGTAATTATTATATGACGTGACTTTGCTTTTTGAGAGATAAATCATAATTCTGGCTTTGAATTATCCCCCAAATTTTTTTCAGTCAACTGATTGGTCTGCTCCTGACCTAATGGGGTTCTCTGAGGGCCTCTTGTGTAATGATCGGTCTGCCAGCGTTTTTTGCTTCTTAGCTCCTCATGTGAAAATCGAAAATCCAAAGTTCAGCGGCTTATTTTCATTTAGGATTGCGTTAGACGCGTTTCAAAAATAATTGCCGCCTGTTCAAAGTATCATGTATTTTATTGATCCTCTACCGATTTTGTACCGTAGAGGGCTCGGAAACCAAATGAGAAGTCATTGAGAAATCCATTCAAAAAAATCTAATTTTTGTTCCGAACTATTTTTCTGCATCCCTTTAGAGAAAAAAATTAATAAGTTCCCCGAGCCCTTTAACAAAATCTTGGTAACCCAAGTACATACTACACTACACAGTCTATTTTTACTAATCGCCGATACAAACCAACAAAAAAAAATCTAAAAAGCACTGCTGTTTATCTTCTGAAAATGTGATCAGACTGAGAGAGCATAATATGAAACTCTTCTGGTAGTTTTGTTGATTTGTATTTAGATACTTTTGTTTGTGCTGGTGTACGGCAGAAAAAATAGATATGTTTGATGTACACTTGATGACCACGGCAAGACCCGACATTGGAATTAGTGATAAAATATTCAAGTTAAATTATCTCTGTGATTATCTTTGTTAAGAAATTGTGAAATAAAGTTAAAAGTATTGAGCTCCCTCATGCACCTTATTTTATTGAAAACAAACTTTGTTCAATAATATACTTTTCTTTTTCAATTTAAAGAAAAATCATTGTTTATAAGATTTTATTAACATAAAATGAGAAATTATTACAAGTCGAAATTAAATATCTCAATTTGATTCAAATTCAATATCAAAATACCATTGAAAATTTTGTCATTGAAATCACTTTTAGATCTTTTTATACAATTTTGTTATTGTTTTTTATTTAATAATATTCAATTCAGAATGTGTAAGCCTAGAGAAAACCAATCAAATTTATTTAAGTGCTTCTTCGGAGGGCATTCTGCTCGAGGTGATTCTTATTTTACAAGGTTTTCAAACTTTTTACCCGAAAGTTTTAAAACTAAAGTCTTTTAATTAAAGATCAAAGAGCGCAGCTGGTTGGTAAACACGCGTCGTGCCGCGGGTTTTACAAAATGCGCGTCACGGAATTCAAAGTTGGAGGCGAAGAGATATTGCTTTTTGGGCTTAAAACCGCGAAACGTCGCCGTCGGATCGTTTGAGCGAGTGTGTGTGTATGAATTAAACGTCATTTTCAGGTCTGCCGAGCAGCTGCAGGTGGAAAGGCGCCTAGCCAGGGAATTATAATTAAGAGAGAAGGAGGTGTTTTGCTTGATTATTCACGCGACGGCGTCAAAGGGAGGCGCACATCAAATCGCCATCAGCATTAACATTCATTGAGTAATTTGCATTTTAATCCGAGGACGTAAACACACTCGAGTGCACTTCATAAAGTTTGACGCCTGTTTACAACGCGGGGGCGCTCATTGTCGGCGCGGATAAAAATTAATCTGCCAGGGCAGTCGGCAATCTCTGCGATAAAAGTAGTGCAAGTGATAATTTTGACAGGCCGCTAATGAAAACACATGCCCTGCTAACGACGACGCCACCCTAGCTCCGATAAAAGCGTCGAGTCCATTTGCATAAACAAATTTGCTGCTTACACGCGCCACATCTTCTTCTCTCCGCCGACACAAGACCAAATAATCGAGTTAGAATTTTCACGAGAATAAAAATCGATCCGCTCTTCTCAATCGGCTGTCAAATTAACTTGGAATTCGACGCAGCCTCTTAATTTTTGGCTCTTTATTAAATCGCTGCTCATTTCGCTCGCCAACAGACAAGCGACAAATTTAATTAATTTGGTTTTCCTCCTGCCGCGAATACTGATTACAGTTTTTATTTTCAAAATAAAATTCAAGCAGATGCCAAAGACTGATTCGCAGCGATGAAATTATTATTGAATTTATAAATAAAAATGAAATAAAAATATGAAAGCTTCCATTTTTACTGACGAATTACGGCAAGGAAATTGCCCTTTTTTCTTACAGAGAGCGAATTTTTAATGATCGACATACACAAAATTAAGCTCAGTTTTGATATCTTACTGGCTTTATATTATTTTCAGTCAGTGAAGGAAATATTATTTTGTGATAATTTCGTATTTTGCAAAAGGAAATCCTGATCACCGCTTAAGTACAAAAATACCAAAATAGTATCAAAATAATGGCCATGAAGTATCATGTGTTCCATTTTTTTCTTGTAAAGCCTGAAAGGATCGTCTTTATTTTTAACTCATACACGTATTTTCGATCAGAATGCAACAATTTTGTTTTTCACTGCGAAAAAAAATCTGATAGACTATTCATCGGCGTTATTAAAATAAAAATATTTGATAATTTATGGTGAAAAAAAAACAAAGTAAATATTATGTTACACTAATAATTGAATCGCCAACAACAATTTAACTTTACAGCGATCATATCTTAAAATATTTTATTGACACCTTCCAATCCTGCTGGTTATGACCGGTTAAATTTGCAACTAAATTTGTTGCCTATGTCCTTCAAATTTTGCACCTTTAATGAAATAATCCGCAATATTTTTCCATCAGCAGATTGAGGTTGAAAAGCAATCTGGAGAGAGGCGGTCGCGGCCAATGTGTGTCGCTCCTTTAATTCAATCTGGAGCTCGCATCTGTACGCATAAAACAATAGTTGGTATTCATGCAAGAGACGCGCGCCTCTTTTTCCTGGATGACAGCTCGTCATGTTGTATTCATAGCATGATAAGTAGCGACACCCTCGCTCGCCATATGTATTTGTATCGCATGCATTATGTAGTGCCACGGGGACGAAGGAAAGAAAGAAAAAACGAGCTCCCTCTGAGAGAGGAATGGACCCTCCATTTCACGCACTGCGGGTGGACTACCTATCTGCCCGTCCTGCGTGTGTCACACACTCTTTTTATTACACTCTCTCTCAGCACATTGTCACTTTGCGCAAAAATTGAAAAGTGAGACGGCGACCCTTGTGCTTTTCTCAGTAATGAATGTTGCGGCCTCTCGCTTGGCCCCGGTGCTCTTGCTTTCGTCTCCTTTTCGCCCCAGATTTGTTTCCTGCAGCACACCGGCGGCGACAGAAATTCTTTTTCAAAATCGATCATTGTGTGTGAGAGAGCGATGCAGAGAGGGCCCGGACGGCGCCTCGACAATTATTTGCCTTCTGCCGTTTCCCATGCTCATCGATAAAGAGAAGCTGCAAAAATTGTTTAATTCAGAGAAAACCGCCTCCTTTTGTCATCGTCAGCTGCTTTTTTTAACTCGCTATTTCAAACGATGCTCTGCTGGAAAAATACTTGCGTCATTTTTTCTGAAATTTGATTAAACAACGCTAGAATATTCTGAAATTATTAATTCAAGGTGGTATAGAAAATTAATGCAGTTTTATTAGGATCAAGGCTCCTAAGGTAAAAAATATTTTTTAATTTAACCCTTGTCTCCTGCTTCAGGCCACCAAAGTGAGATAGGTTCACACAAAGAGTGTAAAGTAAAAATATAGTGAATGAATATCACGTTTCAAGCGATAATTCATGCCTGTGATCAATTTTAAGTTTTAAGCAAAAGCAAAATTATCAAACGTGGTTAAAAAATACAAAAAGTTGTTCTTTAAAAATGAAAAAGAAATTTTAACTTGTCTTTCATCTCGTTGAAAAAAAAAATGAAAATTGACCCCGAAAGTCAACATGTGTGCGGACCGCAGGCCGCCTTTGGAGTGGGATGTCTTTTTTAAATTTTTTTTATTTTTTAACGTTATTAATGTTTTTTTTTTATTTTGTATTATGTTAACGTATTTATTTATCTATCCTCCATTTGTAGAAAAGAAATTTAATAATTTTCAATTCCATAATATAACTCACATACTCTTTATTATTTTTAATTTCAATGAAATTCCCTTGTAAAATGAATCAAATTGCAGCTTTTCCAGTTGAGAGTAAACGTCAGTCATGGTCAGATGCATTCAAAAAGCTTAACATTTTACATCAAAATCTATTTAAAAACAACTGAAAATATATCCCAATTTATTACTAGCTCTTTTTTTCTTGAATCTTCAGGGCACCCTCAGCGGTACATCTTAACTTTCAACTTATTAAATATTGTTTGTGCTGATTTATTCTGATTAACGTGTGCTATATTTTTCTCGTTCAATTTCAACTTTTTCAAGTCCCTTAAGGACTCCTTATTGCAATGCTAAGAGTTCCAAAGAGGTTTCTTTGATCTCCCATTATGCCCAATGTAAAATTTTTGCCCCATGAACCCCAAATTTTTTTTTGCTTGTCTGTTTAGGGTCATTCAATTATCATTTTGTTCAATTTTGAGCAAAAAATTTCGGGCAGATTTTTTTTAATCGCCAAAAACAAAAATCTCCATAAAACGCCATGTTAAATTTCAAAAAATCATATTTCAAGATTAATCCGCGCGACCCTCCATTTTTCTTTGTGCAATCAACTCCACTGGAGGACAGGAATCTATAAAAAAATCTGGGTCCAAAAATTTCGGGCCGATTTTCCGCAAGCAGAAGTTGTAGATGTCAATAAGGAGGCCTTAATTTTTATGGCATAAATCGACGCCGTCTGTCTCCAGCATCCTTTGAATTAAAAAGCGTTTTGCAAGTGTAAATTTCCGCTCGAGAGTGTCCGTCCGCGTGGGTTGAGCGACAAGTCAGTCGTTTCGTTGGCGCTGCGGAATTATGCAAAAATCGGCGGAAATTGCCGTGAAAAGAGTTGGCCGGGTGCGAAGTAACGGCCGTGCTGCTCATGTGGCGCGGAACAAACGCGCCCCGCGGAAAACAGCGCTGGAAAAAACAAGATGGTCGGCGATAATTTGATGGCGCGCGGCCATAATTTTTAATGCCGGGCAGCGAGACGAGCTCGAGATGAGTGTGTACACGCAATTAAAAGTAACTACTTTGTCATTCGGCCTCCCTCTCCGAATAACAACCCTCGGCCCGGCGATCTGAAAATGAAGGAGAAGTGCATGAAGGGCGCTTCGTTAGCATAATTACTCTTTTTATTTTGAGCGACCCTCTAATTAAGAGGCAG